AAGAGTTATAGGGGGTGAGCCACTTTTGAGACGCACCCGGTATTTTTACACGAGTTCGAATGATCGGCCAGAATATTCAGGTAGTTCTATTCTATTTTATCAGGTAATTCTATTTTAAATATTCAAATATCCTAACTCGGGGGAATATCTAAATGCATTATAATATATTTTAATAAACCGAATAGCTGCAATCTGCAATAAATAAATACCTTGATAAGATTGTTAAAAACTGATTATTAATAGTTTGTCTCTCAGTCAAGGCTTACTATAATTAAATAATGTTTCAATAAAAATAAAAACACTATCCCAAGAACGATAAAATGATTAAGTCCAGTCGTTTAAATTCTATAAAAAATAAAATAGTTTTGTAATTGATTTTGTTGATTTTTATACTTAAGCGTAAACCATAAAGTTATAAACAATAACAATTAATACGGTATGATAAAATAGACGAATAGATTTAGATACTTATTATATGGGGGAAGATTTCTTTTATAGGTGAGACAGATACTGTTGTATATTTTTTTAATAATCTATACTAATTTATAAAATCCTTAAGTGACTGACTCACTGATTAATCACGATCCTGCTCAAACCACTCAACGTAAGAAGCTCAATTTTGGCATACAGGTTGCGAAGAAGGGATTCTTCGAAATTCCAGTTCCAAGGGGGTGAAACCACCCCTCAAATATTACAATATTTTTTATTTAAAAACCAGTGAGTTTTCCGAAAAAACGCTTAAACACGTATATTTTATTTTGTTTTTTACATATTTTAAGATTTTTTAAAATTGTATATACAGGGTGTTTCGAAAAATCTGGTCCTTGATTAATCACGATCCTGCTTAAAGCGCTTGACGTAAAAAGCTGATTTTTGGAAAAAGGATTGACTTTAGGGTGTAGAAGTTCGATAAGAAGGGATTTTTCGAAACTCGAATTCTAAGGGGGTGAAACCACCCCTCAAAAATTAAAATATTTTTTATTTAAAATCCGGTGAGTTTTGCGGAAAAACTCTTAAACACGAATATTTTATTTTGTTGTTTTACATATTTTAAGATTTTTTAAAAAAATATACAGGGTGTTTCATAAAATATGACCATTGAGTAATCACGATTCTGCTTAAACTGCTTGACGTTTAATTTAAAGCTGATTTTTGGCAAACGGATTGACTGTGGGGTGTAGAGGTTCGATAAGGAGGGGTTTCTCGAATCTCAAATTCCAAGAGGGTGAAAACGCCCCTCAAATATTACAATATTTGTTATTTAAAAAACGGTTAGTCTTTCGGGAAAACGCCTAGACACGCATAATTTATTTTGTTTTTTTACATATTTTGAAATTTTTTAAAAAATCACACAGGATGTTCCAAAAAGTTGGGTAATTGATTAACCACGATTCTGCTTAAACTCCGTGACGTAAAAAGCTTATTTTTGGCAAACGGATTTTTCGAAAGTCTAAATCCAACGAGATGAAACTACTCCTCAAATATTACCAAGTTATATAATAATATCGCCATATTGTTTTTTCTCATGACATAAAAATGTGAGAAAATTTTATCCAGTTTGTATGTTAATGGAAATTCTTGCTTTGCTTTATCATCGCCATTACAAATGATTCGAGGCGAACGAAGTCGCGGGTACACGCTAGTTTATAATATACCTTCTGTAAATATATTTTATAATTTCGAGATTCAAATGCGGACAGTTAAATTTAAAACACTCCGTATAAAAGGTTTTTGTTTTTTGGTGTGAGATTTTATTGTGAAAAGTTCAAATCAGTGAATATTAATTTTGTATTTTGTAATTGGTAGACTAGACAAAAAAAATATTTTTTATGTGGAATACTAAAGTTTAAATACAAAGCAATAATTTCACTTTCGCATTATGATGCTTTCTAGTCTCTATAGCCACCTATATATACGGAAACATTTTGCTGTTTATGACTCCAACTAGTTTATTACCCATAAAAATCTAGGCAGTTTTTACGTTTCTGGTTTTCTATTGTTGTTACACACAATTTCTAACCAAAATCAATAGTTGCCAACTACACACTATGGTAGTGTAGGTATTGAAGATTGTACTACCAAAAATGTTTTTTTTTCTATAAATAGATAAACCTTACTGTACAAAATTAAGGCCGGCCGTAGCTCCAGCGTTAAGGATGATTCACAATACGTACATAGCCATCTTTTTATTAACGCAGCTCCGGTAGCTCTCGCAAAAAAGCCGCATAATTCAAGTTTTTTTTAAGCTAAAACAATGCAATATTTTGAAAAAAGAACTACATTATAACCAGGAGATATCGGCAATGATAATGTTCTTGTCATTTGATCAAAGTTCAGAATTTATTTTCTGTAAAAATAGCGCTAAAATTAAGACCAAAGCTGAACGTGCGCTAAAAACGGCGAGCGTTGTACTGACCATTTTTTTATTTATACTCGTTATTACTGCTAGCATAAACCGATAGACCTAAATTTTGAATATGTTTTAACTAAATATATAACTTTGAATAAGAAGACTAAGGAAGGAGCATAATGCTATCCATGTATTCATGCATGGTGGGCGGAAAAGGCACCATAAAAGCTCTCTAGGGTGGGGATCCTTGACAGTTCTGTTTGACGATTCATTTGACACATTTGAATTTGATTTGAAATTTTGTGGATTTGTCAGTCTTTATGGAGCTTATTTTATGTTATTTATTATTTATTCTACTACTGATAGTTGTATAAAGGTAGTAAATCTAGATGGAAATTGTGGCAGAACTTAAATTAACAGTGACACTATCGCGATTTATCGAAAAAAGACTCTAAAATAGTTGGTTGTGTAGCGTGCGGTAGATCTCGGCAAAAATTGAGTGAAATAATGGAACAACTTTTCGCTAGTAAGTGACTATATAATATACATACGTGTAGTAAACCGATCATTTATGAAATTCACTTAAATTAACTAAATTATATATTTTTCTTGCATTTTAGGTTTTATTTATTACTTGTCAAAGATTAGATGTCAAAGAATTTAGATACGTTAATTTGACTTACCTGCTTCAGTAGCGTATCGGGTGTTTGTGTTAATAAATACTTATTATAACTTATCTATTTTTATTAGAATTATATTTTTATAACAATTTTAATAACTACCAACATTTATTCACAACGTAAAATAAAACAACAAATTATTGAGTCTACCCCACGTCTACCCTACATCATAGTTTTACATTTTTTAAATAAAATTAGAACGACACTGATAAACCGGAATTTAAGTCGGCCATATTTGAGGCCCATCGCGGTGTACCTAAGATTTTTGATATGCTCCTTCCTTAGTCTTCTTATTCAAAGATATATAACTAATTAAATGATAGTATTCATATCTGTCAGTTTTAAAATTTATAACAGAGATTTTTTATCTCAAAGTTATAATATGCTGGGGCAATGTAATCAAATCGAAAATATAAAAAATAATCCAGTTATTTAGCTTGTCGCAAAAATCAACACGCTACGATAATTATTAACGAAATGACGCGACGGCAGGTTTAAAATTATTTATTTTGTTAAATCGGCGCGTCGCTGTCTCGCTTGCCTACTGGGCTGCCCGCGGCCACGCGCTAAGGTCGTTGTGCAATCCGGACACTCAATTGGATACGAGGATACGTCAGTCAATCCTAATTTGTGTCCATGGCTGAGAAACTTAAATGGAAATGACGGTTCATTAAAAATAGTTTTTCCTCCAAGATGCAGAGGCGCAAAATATTAAAACTGTCAATATTAACAATGCAAATGTCAATATCTGACAATAATAAAATTTGATTTTTAACTGTCACTCAGAGACGCTTTTGTTGTGATTTTACGGTTTGATTTCGTTTTGATTTGTCGAATTATTGTAAAATTAAATTCCTTCAGAGTTTTTGCCAGTATTCTGTTTTTAGACAATGTTTTTTAAAAATGGTGGGACAATTTGTGTTTTGTATAGACTCTTAATTATTTTTTATCATGGACTTTAATTGTTGTACACCTGGTTTCCGAAGGATACAATGGTAAGTAAATTAAACATATCTACTTACAGTTATAGATTTTTTAAATTAGTACTGCTAATAAATGCTACTTGCTGAGCAGTTATTTAATTTTTTTACGGTGCATGTAAGGAATTAAGGACGCGTGTTGTGTTATATTAGCATGATCAGCAGATGATTACATCTAATTTAATTTGTTTTTATTATTTCAGGTCTCAAACGGAAACAAACTGGGAATCTTGGCTACACCAAAATTATATAGCCGTTTCCAATTCACTTCAAAGGGAGGAAAATTATGTAAAACTGCCTGCTATTTGCTGAAAACCGCCAAAGATTAAATTATAACTGTAACAACTTAATATATACTATTTCTAGTCTTTTAATATATTTTTAATTAATATCCGACATAAGAACACTTTGTATGCTTTTAATTAAGTTGATTTATCGTTTATAATATGTTCGACCTAATTAAAAGCACACAAAGTGTTCTTACATGTATGTCTAAATTTATTTTAAATTAACTAAAACAACCCCCCTTCCCCGCACCCCTCTCTTCCATTAGTATTTCTTCCTCCGACTACCAGAGGCGCCCTTGTATAATAAAATTGAAATGTATTATAAGTTGCCTATCTATTTAATAGTATAAGTCTTTTATCTATGTTTGTCCTATACTAACATCATATCAAATCTCGTTTTTTTTTATCTGAAAAATTAAAAAAGTTATAGGGGTGAGCCTGAGCCACTTTTGAAACGCACCCGGTATAACGTAAGTTCAAATGATTTATGAAGTCGTTAAAATGATTTAATCAAAAAACTACTTAAATTTTCTGTGAGCTTGCAGGCAGCTCTTAGATTAACAATAAAAAAGGCAGCCCTGGGCACATGCCACAAAGCAATAACATGCCACAAAGCAATAAAGTAAGCTCGTCTACGATCGTGACGTCGGAATCGTTGTCTCCGGCCTCTATGCGCAGTTCACGGCTCGAGCAAGTGAAGTTTAGTAACATTTGTTTTTCTAGTGATTTTTGGAATGAAATATGTGGAACACTGCACAAACATAACCTACTTTTTTTCTAGTCTTTACTTTTGTTTACCTTATTGTCGCCCGTGTTTTGAATTTTGAATTGTTTTTACTATTCTTCATAAATTATAAATGGATCTAAAAGAAGTTAAGGATTTCCTTGAGTATTTCGACAATGTGGAAGAGGTATCTGAAAACAGAGTGCACAAAAGATGTATTTGTGATGCCGAAAACCCAATTGAATTTTACGAGGACCAGGCGTTTTGCTACCGCTATCGTTTTTCGAAAACGTTTGTGCTAAATGTTTTACTACCTCTTGTTGCCAATAGCCTAGACTCCGAACCCGTATCGCCCCTAATCCAACTTTTAACCAGTTTACGATATTATGCAACAGGAGATTTTCAGGTAAGTTCCTCTTGTTTTTGTAATCCATGTTTCTAATCAATCTTAATTTTCTAGTTGGTTAACGGGGATTTACGTGGAATAAGCCGGGAATCAGTAAGCCTTATAATAAAAAATGTTTCCGAGGGAATAGCTAGGCATTTGCGTGACTATATTCAACATCCTAAATACCTGGAACAGAAACAACGAAACGTAAGGTTGTTTCAGGCAATAGCTGGATTTCCTGGTGTGGCAGCGTGCGTAGATTGTATGCATATTAAAATTGCTAACATAGGAGATCACAAGGAGTATGTTTTCACAAATCGCAGAGGCATCTTCTCTCTAAATATACAAGTGAGTTATATACGACAACAATTATTTTTAATTATGTTCTAAAACGAACGTACCTGTTTAGATTGCGGTGGGTCCACAGAGGGAAATGATTGACATTGTTGCTAGATATCCCGGAGCATCCACTGACGGCATAATCTATGATAGAAGTTATCTGCGAGTAGCTTGCGAGAAAGGTGAAATGGGGGGCGTTCTTTTGGCTGATAGAGGATATCCGAAGAAAAGACCAAATCTGCTAACACCAATTGTTCATCCAGGCAAGTAAAAAAAGGGCAAATTGGGGCAAAGTTGCACCTTGGGATGTTCACCAAGATGCCATCAAATATTATATTTATATTATTTATTTTATAATATTTTTTATTATTTGATTGCATTTAATTTTCCGTATTTAATGTTTTACCCCACATCATTGTTAGGTTTTAAAGCTAATCAATATTATAATGATGAATAGGTTAAATATTAAAAAAAACAGAGTCGGACTTGAAATTAGTTTAAAAAAATTGGGTTCAAATGTCCAAAACAAAAAATATATATATTAAGTGTGGTATATCATTGTACTCAGGAGACCGAGTTCTTTCAAAACATGAAATAAAAAATGCAGGTCCGTATTTAAAAAAATTAAGTTATAAAGAGAAATAAGACTATGTATCTCACAAATTATCAGCTAATTTGAAAATCTAAAAATACTATCAGATAGTGGTTATGATTATAATAAAGTGGCTATGAGAATGTGCAATTTGTTTTTTGATTTTCTAAAAAGTAACGATAGGAAAAAATAAAATCGATTTTCAAAAAATCCGTTTTTCTGGGAAAAATCTTTTCGAGAAAACTGAGTTAACTCAGCAATACTTGTAATTTTTAAAACTTTTTTGATGGCATCTCGGTGAAAACCACAATATACAATTTTTTCATCTCGGTGAAAATTCTAAAGCGCAACTTTGCCCCAATTTAACCATGTTCGTATCTATTATGGTTGCCGAGATACCAATGCTCGTACCTCGAATTTGTAGCACCCTGTATACATATTATAATACTTTTTAATTTGATTCTTGTAGCTAGTGCACGTGACGAACGCTTCAACAAAGCTCACAAAGGCACAATGGAGGTTATTGAACGTGCGTTTGGTAATTATAAACGACGGTTTCCGTGCTTGCACAGAGGACTCACGACGGAACTCACAACAAGCCCAGCTGTAATTTGTGCTACGACGACCTTGTATAACTTAGGTTTAAAATATAAGGACAATATTACTTGTGAGGAGGAGTCGCTCGAGAATTGAGTTGAGGATGTTAGCAATATTAGTGTTTAATTTAATCACAGTTTTAGGATTAGCGGTTATTAGATATTATTTTTATTACTGTAATATTAAGATAAATTCGGACATATTTTTGTTATTATTTTATTGATTTATGTTTTTTTTATTCAGTAGGTACTTATTATTAATATGTAGAAACTAATGCCAAAATAATTGTTGTAAAAATGTTTGTAAGTAATATTACTTATTATTAATTTTTAATTATTATTTATGTATTCGTTGTATTAAAAAATTTGTGTAGTTAGAAACAATACTTTTTTCCAAATTTTGGTGGTTAAAATTTGTTGAAATGTGTTACATTATTCTTTGATTGAAACAAAACAATAAAGTTGTATAAATTTATTCTAAATTAGTTTATTTTTACATAAACTCCTACTTGCTCCTACTATACAAGGGCCTGCAACAGTGCGTGAAGCATCTATAGGTCCTATATAAGAGATCTTTGTTACTTGAAGTTTTGTTTAAGTTCATACGTAAAGTATGTACTAGGGCCTATTTTAGGAAAATATTTTAACTTCTACAGGGTGGCTCAAAAAGTATGAGTGAATTGGGATGATTTTTTTAAATAGAACATCCTAAATATTACATTTACATTTTTGACTTCTTTTCTGATCACTTTACATACTTCTAAGATACTATTAAAAAAATTTTGATAAATTCAGAGATAAAAATAAATAAAATATAAAAATATATATTTTTTAGACATATAAAAAATGTGATGGGTCCTGGAATCAAAACTATGCTAGTTACTTACTCTAGTTGGTCAGTCTTAAAACATACAGGGTGTTCAAAATTCTATGCCAAACTTTCTAAAATATAAAATAATTTTTCTTGATTTTTTAAATGGTTTCTTGATTTTTTAATAAACACCCTGTATATTATTTTTTTGTTAGATGTAAATTTTTTTTTGTATTTAATGTATTTTAAAATTTTTAACGGTTTTGCAGATATTTGCTGTATTATTACAAATGGCGTTTTCATTAGTAAAACACCAGACAAAAATCATTAGGCTTTGATAAAAATTTGTTGTTGAAAGAGAGTCATAATATGTAATATAATACCGCGAATATCTGCGAAACCGTTAAAAATTTGAAAATACTTTAAATACAACAAATGTTCATTTTTTAATTCTGCATCTAACAAAAAAATATATATAAAGGGTTGTTCCATTTAAAAAAAAAACGACGAAAAATTATTTTATATTTTAGAAAATTTGGAGTAGAATTTTGAACACAAAACAACTGAATGATTTAAAATTACGCTATGTATGTATAACAATATAAATACTGCCCATCTATAGCAAATACCTAGTATAGTTTTGATTTCCGGACATTTTTTTTAAAGGCTGAAAATATATATTTTTTATTAATTAATATTTCTACAACTATCAAAACATATTTAATAATATCTCAGGATTATGTAAAGTTATCAGAAAGGAAGTCAAAAATGCAACCATATCTATACAGGAGACAGGATGATCCATTTAAGAAAATTATACCGATCCCCTCACACTTTTTGAGCCACTCTGTAGAAGTTAGAATATTTTCCTGAAATACATTCTAGTACATATTTTAGGTATGCACTTAGACAAAATTTCTACGTTCTTTTTTATAGGAGCTGCAGATACCCGACGTACTGTTGCAGGACCCTGTATATACCGTATATTCAAATCTGTAGGCGCTGATAAATAATAAGCCTTATGTTGTTTGAACTCAGTTTAGACAAAACCTTTTGTCTATCCTACATTCTGATAACTTAATTAATCTTTGCACGTATTTCAGAGATATTTTAAATATGCAATGGAAGAGTGTTATCTTTAAAATTACCTAATAGTTGCGCCTATATCTCATTCCACTTAAAACATCGTTTTTTTTTAAACTATTAATATCTACATGTTACAGTTATCTTATCAAAACTATGAATAGATCATATCGATTACATTTAGCTACCCTTCTAATGTAAATTCTTTCTTCTGTATACTTTTTGCTCTGTATTGGAAGACTGAAAGTTATGGAAAACAATAATAGAAATATGTTAGAAATATCAAAAAAAAAACGACAAAAAACGGCGTCAGCGATAGCTATGAAATGAAGATCGCTGTCCTTTTATATGTAAATTTATATAGGAAATGTCATCGATCATCATTTCCCAGCCAACTGGACGTCGTTTTTATACGGTAGGTACATACAGGGTCCGGCAATAGTGCGTCGGGCATCTGTAGATGCTAGAATAAAAAACTTGGGAATTTTATTTAAGTGTAAACCTAAAGTATGTACGAGGATGTCTAAATATTTTAACTTCTATAGGGTAGTTAAAAAATTGTGAGTGGATTGGGATGATTTTTTTATATGGAACACCCTGTATATTATTGCATTTTTGGCTTCCTTTCAGAGAATTTTTTTAAAAAATCATACAGGGTGTTACCCAACCAAACCATACCAAAAAGTTGGGTAATTTCTTAACCACGATTCTGCTTAAACGGCTTGACGTAAAAAGCTTATTTTTGGCAAACGGATTTTTCGAAAGTCAAATTCCAACGAGATGAAACTACCCCTCAAATATTACCAAGTTATATAATAATATCGCCATAGTGTTTTTTCTCATACTGACATAAATGTGAGAAAATTTTATCCAGTTTGTATGTTAATGGAAATTCTTGCTTTGCTTTATTATCACCATTACAAATGATTAATTCGAGGCGAACGAAGTCGCTGGTACACGCTAGTTATTAAATAAAATATTAAGGGTGGTACGATTTTATTTTAATTTTAGAGTTGTCATAACAATAATTATTTATGCATTTTATAATGTTCAATAATGTTAAATTTAAATTTTAAATTAATAAAACAATTTTTTTTAAAACAAGGGTTTTTATTCCTATCACGATACATTATTACATGTATTATGGCTTCTAAAAAAAAGTAGGAAGTTGGGAAAATTGCTTGTCCTCTGTCCTAGGAAAATATTATTTTTTTGTAAAAATTTTATAGAACATTTTTTGCTTAGAATTCATCCCTTTATTGATTTTTGTAATTAAAATGAGTGATTTATTTTTCACCCCCGAGAAGGGGTGGCACTCACCCCCACGGTGAAAGCACACATCGCTACTCTGTAACTTTTGTTTCTTACACATATCTCTATTCACTGTTAAAATTTCACGTCAATCGGTGCAGGTGTTCAGAATTCGGACCCTAAAGATTTACCACTACTGTTGCCGTTGTCACTTTTATTACGATAGGAATACAGCTATTTCAATATTATTTAAATATTCCTCATTTTCTTATTACTGTTTTGAAGTTGGTAATAGAAAAATTACTCTATGATCGAAAACAAAGCGGTGTCAAGCATATACGTATTACTTTTTACAAATATACTCAGCCTAATCTCCAAAAAGTGAAGCCCAAACAGTGAGAGAACAATATGGAATTCTGCATAAGTCTATTTCACCCGGATATTCATTTAACTGAGCATGCCTCACCTGAAGAAGTTTTCATTGGTCGATGTTTTTAAAGGGAAGTGGTTGACTGACATTTCCCCTAACCTTCAATTTTATTTATATTTTTATTATTTATAACCAATTTATAACACATCATCATGGAGTTGGAAAAATATCAAAAAATAGTTGGAAACAATAAACTAAACAAAATCACTCTTTTACGCGCACAAATAAAAAGTAATCCAAACAGAACTAAAACAACAATCAATCGGAGTTTGGCGCAATCGCAGTTCAATCCATATCCGGGTGAAATAGACTTATGCAGTTTTAATATGGAGCTGGGTTATGTTGTCTTTTTCTTACGGCACAGAAATTGCACACGGGGTTAAATAGGGAACCCTGAGTATATTTGTAAAAAGTAATACGTATATGGTTTTAATATGGAGCTGGGTTATGTTGTCTTTTTCTTACGGCACAGAAATTGCACACGGGGTTAAATAGGGAACCCTGAGTATATTTGTAAAAAGTAATACGTATATGGTGTCAAGTTAGTGTGGAAATGACCATCGATGACATTCACCCTATAATTTACATATAAAAATGACAGAGATCTTCATTTTCAAACCAACTCTGGCACCCTTTTTTTCGATTCTATGGTATTTATAAGAAATTAAGTAGTAAATTTGAAGTCGCTTACTTTTCTTTGTCTCCTGGTTTATTGAACATATAATAAAAGTTTATTTTTCCTACCTGGTCTAAATAGGGGTAAATTTCTATATAAACTCAATATAATAAATAATACAGCTATGTATATTTAACATTTAAAGGCAATTGTGATAACTTTAAGATAGGTAGGTAGTGAGTAGTTAATGGGTAAAATGTGCGTGTTAGTTCTATTTTGACCTTTGGATCAGTGACAACTGCTGAAATTTCCGAAGTTTTTTTGGGTGAGTTTGTACAATGTGAGCAATATCATCAGAATAAGAAAATTTTATATAGGTTATTGATTAATAACATTTGTATACAAGGGTTCGACTTTAGTGCGTCGGGCATCTGTAGCTCCTAAGGTGCGTATTCACTTGCAACAAAACACTCCGAACAAACCAAACGCGCCGCGCACTCCAAACAATCTGCAACGAAACATTTTCCGAGAGCGCTCTGAACGACCTGCAACAAAACATTTTGCGCGGAGCCTTCCGCCTGTTTGCGGTGTTCGCTGCGTTCCCACCGGTAATCAGTGTGTGAATCAGTGTTAGTGTGTTTGCCGATAACGATGCATCTGATATTATCATAGCCGCTGGTGCTTTTTTAATGATAGAGGCATTAGCGGGTAACAAAAAAGAGAAAAAAAGGAAAGGACGAAAAATTTGGGCAATACGCCTCTTTTTGCGCCGTCAATATAATATGGCCTTACTTAGTGACCTAGATTATATACATAAGAAGAATTTAATTAATTTAATAATTAACTATTAATTTAATAAAATAGGCCGACCTTCAAACTCATCAGTTAACTCTAAACACTTTTCTCTGTTCCACTCCATAGCTAGGTACAGTTTAAAAACACCCCAAACACAACGAACGTTCAAAACTGCCGTATCCACTGAACACCGGTCAACGAACAAATTCTTTTGAGCAAATCCCGTTTACCGACAAGCTTCGGAAAATGTTTGGCGCGTTCGGTTCGGTTCGGCGCAACGTACTGACTAGACAAACTTGATAAAGCGCGCGCGGCGCGTTTGGTTCGTTCGGAGTGTTTTGTTGCAAGTGAATACCCACCTCTAGAATATAAAACTTGGGAATTTTTTTTAAGTGCAAACCTTACTATTAAGTATGTACTAGGATGTATTTCAGGAAAATATTTGAAGTTTTATAGGGTGGCCCAAAAAAGTAAGTGGATCGGGATGATTTTTTTTATATGGAACACTCTGTATATTATTGCATTTTTGGCTTTCTTTCAGATCACTAAGATATGAGAAAATATATTTCGATAGTTTCAGAGATATTAATAAATAAATAAAAAAATATATTTTTCAGCCTTTCTTAAAAAAATTATTAAGAATAGAACAGTCGGGGAATCAAAACTATATTAGGTGTGTATTTTAGATGATCTGTACTTACTTTGCTATAAATATGATAATCGTAAAACATACAGGATATTCAAAATTCTACGCTACACATTCTAAAATAATAATTTTTTTTTTAATTTGGATTTTTTTTAAATGGTACACACTGTATATTATTTTTTCAATAGACGAAAATTAAAAAATTAACATTTTTTGTATTTGGAGTAATTTAAAATTTTTAACGGTTTCGCAGATTCGCTGTTTTATATTTCATATGACATTTTCCAGAGTAAATTTTTATCAAACCACCCAATAATTTTTCTCTAGTATTTTATCGTTGAAAGAGCCATATGAAATAATACTGCGTGTATTCGTAGATACATTACACTAACCAATAAAAATTTTGAAATACTTTAAATACAAAAATGTTTATTTTTTGATTTTCCTTCTAATTAAGAAAAAATATACAGGGTGTTCCATTTAAAAATTTGGCGTAGATTTTTGAACGCCCTGATGATATCATCACTTATTGGTATGCCCATGCCTCTACATCTGATTTTCCTCTGTTTTTAAACTTGGTTGACGTATATTTTGAATTAAGTTGGTGACAGGCAACACCATTGGCTTAATCTTTTTGATACTTTATTTTCAGTTTTTATTGAAGAACAAGAATTTTTGTATATCTTTTGTATTGTTGTTATAAGTAGAACCTATAAAACTGGTGCTTAAAAATTATTGACTTATGTTTCCTTTTTCAGGTTAGGTTAATTAGAGCCGCGTCAGCATGGTCAACAGCGGCTCGTTCACCTCGGACCCAGGCAAGCCGCGCTACCAACAACTCGGAGACGCAACCACGGTCTCCCAAACGGCCGATTCGGGCGACGCCACCGACGTAGCCTGCAAGACCGAGTGCTCCAAGACCGCCGACAACGAAGACTCCGCCGCCGACGGCGCTCCGACCGCGGCCCGATCGGACGAGACCGCAGCCCAGGATGACGACGAAAAGGCCAGTCTCTGTTGCAGCCTTCCGCTGGACAAGGTCCAGGGGGTGCTTACCACCACGCCACCGCCCGACCAAACGGCGGAAGACAAAGCCAAGTCGCCTCGGAAGATGCTGTGTTTATACTGCGACCGATCCTTCGTCAGTGCCAATTTGCGACAGAAGCACGTGGAACGGGCGCATTCCACCAAACCCAACCGGCGAGTCAGCGCCAGGAGGCAGAATCAGTTAAGCGCGACTCCGTGCGTGTACTGCGATAAGCTCAACACCTCGGAGCACACGCTTAACGACCTCTTCAAGCACTATGTCCGCGAGCACACGTCCAAGTACTTCGGATGTCTCAAATGCGAGGAGAGGTTTCTGACTCTACCCCACCTCACCGACCACAATTCTTCCAAACATTCGGTGGACAAAAAGCCCCCAATGAAATTATACGAAGTGGACCCGGCGGAAGACGGCGATTCGGACGACTCTGATCAAAATATCACACCTAAACTGACAAGGAGCAAGTTAAAGGTCAAGACTGAAGACTCACCCGAGACGGACACTGCCTCTGATGTAGCGAAGAGACCCGAGTCGAAACGGAAGACCAAAATCAAGGACATGCGAACGAAGAAGATCGGCGTTAAAACGTCAAAAATCGCTCTGAAACGAAGCAAGCGATTGCAGGCGCAGGCGAAAGACTCGGACTCGCAAAAGAAACGTCGCGAACGAAAAGCGCCGACTTCCGGCAAGTCGGACACGACTACAGACAAAAGCAAAGGTGCGTGCGTGAACCCTTATCCCGAATTCGACAATTTCTATCGCGTTAAGAAAATCACCGACCATTCCATCGACAATTTGAAAATCAGTTCGCTCACCTTCGACGACGTGTTCGACAAAGCCTTCTTCAACCGAATCAAGTGCAATATCGAGGAGAATCTCCTCCACCATATCGACGGAAAACTGTTCAAAAACGAAGAGTCCGAAAGCCGGATATCGAATTTCGAAAAGGAAGTACAAAACTCCAACCCTGAGAACTACGGTTGCGATCTCTCGCTCAACGCCATCACCCCCGTCGCTTCTATCTCCCTAAACCCCCAATTCGGTGAAGATTTTGAATCTCAGATCGAATACGGAGCGAAACCATCGAAAAAGAAGACCCAAACCAATAACGATGAGGTCCACTACAAATACTTCACCCGGAGAAAATACCAGGCCAGCATACTTTTACAGAAGGAAAACAGAGACTTGAGTAAATTAGACATGTGGACTCAAATGGTGGTGAAGGAGCGCCAAGAACGAATATCAAACAACAAGAAAAGCGCGAAGGAAATGGAAGAGTACACTCTGGGGCACGAGTACAAAAACAAAATAAAAAAGGAGGAACTTAACCGAATTTTGGACAGGAGAGGCCCGTTCGAAGATCTCAAGGAAGAAGCCAGCAAGAAGGCGGCTTTCGACAAATTAAACCTGACCTCGGACGAGGATATCAGCGAGGAAGTTTTTTCCGATGTCCGAGAAGTCTTGAACGATATTCTTGACAGGGTGTTCGAGGTGGTTACTGAAGAAGACCGACCAACGGAAAACGACAGTAAGGAAATCGACCACCGGCAAATACCAGTTTTCCTAGATCTAAGACGCAGAGATTCTTCCATCCAAGAAGAAATAGATCGCTCGGACAGGATAGCTTTGATCTGTTCCTCTCAGGAAACTGAGAATTTTGAAGCGTCAACGAACAAGTCTCGATCGAATAACGAACTAATCGAACTGACCGGTGAATGGGCTCGAAGCAGGATGTACATATGCGCGGCGTGCGGAGGGAAGTTCCCCAACATGCGGTACCTTCTCGACCACAAAAGCGCGTACCATCAGAACGTGTGGGTGCAGCATTACGAGTTCGTGGGTAATCAGAGTGAACTGTATCGGCATCTGAGTATACCGGGTTTAGGCAAAATCGGTGTGGTAGAGAATAGTGTATCGTGCAAACAGTGGAAGCGGAGCGACTCGCGGACTTGTACCAAGTGCGGGAAACAATGCAACTCTCTGGGCGAACTTCACAGGCATGTGCTGGAGTGCGGCGGAGATTGGACTTGGATGCTGGCCAGGAAAAAGTGCAAATATAGACCGTTCGGGGCCAAGTCTCGGCGGAAAAGAAAAGGTGAGTTTCTTTTAGTTACGTTTCCATGTTTTTTTGCGGGATACGCCAATAGTACCATACGATCGAAAAAAATTCGACGTCAAAGACGGCTAGGAAATGTAGAATGCTGAATATGTATAGTCCGTCTAGAAAGTATCCTGAAAAAAGAAAGCAAAATTACAATTATCGATATATATTTTTAGGACTTGAGTTAAAAAAAATTATAAAAAATTAATTTTATTTACTTCTATCTCCATTTAACTCCAAACATTTAACTAAACGTCCAGGTACACCCGAAACTAGGTCCACACCATAATGTTCAGTGGCGGTAGTCCAGGCCTGTAAAACTGAGCGAATCAAATCTTGTTTATTTCGTGGAGCTGCTCGTTCCACTTCAGTCTTCATTAGTCCCCATATGTTTTCAATGGGACTAAGGTCTGGTTAAGCTGCTGTTCATGGAATTGTTGCCAAATGGTGTTCTTGCATCCAAGTTTGAGTATAGGCACACGTATGGTATCTTGCATTATCCTGCTGAAAACGCCACCCCTCTGGATATAAAACATGGGCCGTTTCAAGAAGAAAACCATTTAAAATATTACAATTATACACGTTTCCAATTCTTTTCCATTTTCATCCTTCCGTTTTTTTTTGTAAGATACGACAATAGTACCGAAATACGATCGAAAAAAAATCGACGTCAAAGACGGCTAGGAAATGACAGTCGATAATAATTTTAGCGAGATCAAGCCCTAGACTTCAATACTTGGCCCGTACGCTTCTTTAGTTTTTAATGACGCTTACCGTCGCTAACAAAAGGCAAACTGGGATTCAATCAGCGATTGGCTCTCATAGAAAACTGTGACTGTGATATTTTCTATTTGCGACTTTCAATTTATAACAACCAATATTACTATAGCTGCGATTTTGCTGCGATTCGCGATTTCTTCTACTTGCGAGTTTCAATTTAAGCAACGATTTTGTTGGGACTGTGATTTCATAAACTAGAACCATGATAATCTTCTATCTGCGAGTTTCAATTTTTAGGAGTTGCCATTTTGTTGCGAATGTAATTTTGTGATCCATTGAAACTGCGATTGAATTTTTTCTCTGATTTTATTTATTTATAGAGAAGGTATTATTTTCTAATGCCAATCATAATATACCGGGTGTTTCTCAAGAGTGGTTTGCATTTATAACTTTTTTATTTTTTCTAATAAAGAAACAAGATTTGGTACGTAAGCATATGACATAAATTAGGATTGATTGACTCAATTCGTTTCGATCACTTCCTGTTTCACAGAAAATTATTACAACTTTTGATTTTTAAATGGCACCCTCGGTATTTTTTTTTACTTTATTCGATAGAAAATGACACTCTGAATAGAAAACCTAGTATGTAAATATTAAAATCGCAATCGCAGATTATAGTCGCAGCGATTTAAAAATCGCAATCGCAGTTTCAATTGCGATTGGAGAATCGCAGTTTTGCTCATCTGTACTGTCAGTTACTGTCAAGGTTGTAATTTATTTTTATATTCAGTAAAACTGATTTTTAAATGGTATATTTTTAAATTAAAAAAAAATAGATTTGTGTATCTGGAAACGTTCCATCCATTTTTGATTTTTTTGAATTTGGTTTCAATCTCGGTGTCAATTTTTGACAGGTTTTATGTCAATTATTAGTAATTGACCTTGCCAAAATTATCATCGATTGTCATTATTCCCCAGCCGTCTTTGCGGCCGTTTTTTTTCGAAAAGTGACTCACCCCTATATATATTTTTTTTTTTTTTGAGATACAAAAAAGATCACTTCCGATTTTGCCGGAAACGACAACAACTCTTGATTTTTAAATGACACTCTCGGTATTTTGTTACTTTATTCGATAGAAAATGACACTGGGAATAGAATGACATATCATATGTCAACTTTTGACATTTTCGCATGTGGTTTATTTGAAATAGCAACACGCGATTCATAACGAGAAGTTGACTCGAAATACCAAGTGTGTGGTGTCAAATTATTCGTAAAAAATGCTTTTTCCAAATATGCTAATGAGCCACCCTCGTTCCATTTGAAAAACTTGAGATATGATTAAAAATACGATTTGGGCATCTTTTAACCGACCAGGACAAGGCACTAAAACATTAGACTATCAAATCTATTTTTCCAAGGCTCCTTGATTAAAAATTAGTGTTTTTAACACTGCCATGGCACTCTAGATTGAAATTTAAAATACAATTTTGTTTTAAGCGAAAATGTCAAAAGTTGTCATGTGATATGTCATTCTATTCAGAATGTTATTTTCTGTCGAACAAAGTAAAAAAATACCGAGGTGCCATTTAAAAATCAAAATTTGTAGTAATTTCCGGTGAAACAGGAAGTGACCGAAAACAATTGAAAACGTCAATCAATCCTAATTTATGTCATATACTAACATACCAAATCTAGTTTTTTTATCTGAAAAAATAAAAAAGTTATAGGGGTGAGCCACTTTTGAGACGCACCCGGTATACTAATTAGCCACACTCGTTCCATTTGAAAAAATTGAGTTATGATTAAAAATACGATTTGTGCATCTTTTAACTGGGCAGGACAAGACACGAAAAACATTAGAGGATCAATTCTATTTTTCCAAAGCTCCTTGATTAAAAATTAGTGTTTTTAACACAACCATGACACTCTAGACAATTTAAAATACGAATTTTGTAAAGCCAGAATGTCAAAAGTTGACATATGATATGTCATTTTATTTGGAGTGTCATTTTCTATAGAATAAATACCGAGGGTTCCGTTTAAAAATCAAAAGTTATAGTTATTTCCAGTGAAACAGGAAGTAACCGAAAACAGTTGAATACGTCAATCAGCCCTAATTTATGTCATACACTCTTGTACCAAATCTCGTTTATTTATGTGAAAAAATAAAAAAGTTGTAGGGAAATCCCCCGTATATAAACCCTTATTCGGTGCTCCATAAAGAACGAGTAATAAAAATATAGATAAGACAAGTCAATATATTTTTCTACTGTTCGGTGTGATCATTATTACTTTTATTGCAATTCAGGTAGACATTCTCCAATAAATAAATAAAATGTAGATCGTTTATCTGAGGGTGCATTCACACTATCCTAGAAACGGCGTATCGGCGTAACGACCTTGAATCGATTTCCAGCAATTCTATTGGTTGAAAAATTCATCGTCAGAAATTTTATCATGTATCAATTCATCTGTCAAAAATTTCAGCCACTAGAATTACTGGAAACCTATTCAAGGTCGTTACGCTGATACGCCGTTTCTAAGATAGTGTGGATGCACCCTGAGGCGTAGTCTCAGAGCCGGGTGTATGAGAAAATAAAATACTATTATTATCGGTAAATAAAAAGTACTGTAAGTAGTAGTAAGTAGCTACCTACTTATTAGGGTTTCCAAACTCCAGTTTAGAAACCCTGGCTACAGACGGATTTCGGGGATAAACATACACCGGGATTGGGATCCCGGTGTATGTTCCCGATAATAAATCCCGATATTAAATCCCGGGATCCCGAAAATCTCTAAGAACTTAGTAATTAATTATTAAATATTAATATTTTTCGAGGTGACTTTGTTTTGTTTATTTTGTTTATTTATGTTGCCCTTTTCTCATTTTCTTTTTGATATAAGTATGTAGCTGCATTTTTATTAAGTATTTCTTTAGATTAAATTTTTCAGTCGGATAGTCAATCCCGGGATTATAGGTTCAAATCTATTGATTTCAAAACGGGACCATGATCCTGAAAATTGAAAACTCTACTTAAGCCGGTCTTACACGATGTGGCAAACACCTTCCAACGTTGGACACATGCACATTTTCCACATCGTGTACGAGACACACTTGTCAACTGTAAAGGCGGCTACAGACGGCATGGCAAGCCTTGGCCAATGTCCGCTCGTTTCAACGTTGGCGCATCGTGTGTATGCAAAACATATGGCAAAGCAAAGGCAAGGTTGGCGCTGGCCAGGGTTCGCCTATGAAGCGGTATTTTCGACACACATCAAAGGGACTTGTTGAAACTCGCCAGTGGGCTTGATCGCCGTACACACGACATAATATGTTAGTCCAAGAGAGCTTGAGTTTAAATGACAATAAAATTCTAATTCGTTTGAATAGTTTATGGTATCCCTTGAGGAAGTTTGTCGTGCACGGTAATAAGTACTGCAGTACATTTAATAATATTTCTTGTTGTCAACTATTGTTTTTTTTAAAGCAGACGCTGGTATTACTTCATCATCGGAGTCGAACTCCATTTCTTATGTTATTTGTACCTTTGTACAACGTTCGCCTTCACTTGCCTCGAAAAGACTGGCAAAGATAAAACATGTAGTGTGTACGGTCGTCGGTGCGCGAATATCAAGCAAAGACCAACGCTTCTACAAACGTTTGCTGAAACGCTGGCCATGGCTTGCCATGCCGTCTGTAGCCGGCTTAATATTGTCGAGACCTATGCCAATCGATGCGTCCAACGTCGCGTCGGTTCCAGCGTGGAACCAACGTTGGACCCATCGTGTAGAACCGGCTCTATACAAATATGATCTCCCGGATGTGGATCGTGATTTAGTTGGAAATTCGACGTTTTTTTAGTTTATTAATTTGCGGAGATGACAGTTGCTGTTACTATATGACATGCACAAAACATCTCCATGACCAATCCATGACATGTCTTGTCCCACATCACAATGCTTTAGTATGTTTTTTGTTATCAGGCATACTGAATCGATCGCATATAAAGTTTTTGCAATATTTTAATATAAAAAAATCTTATCCAAGAGCCTCAGTTTTTGGCAAACGTAACTGTATAAAAAATTGTTTTTAGATAACTGCATTATCATATTATTTCACCATTTTATAGGTTTGGTGCGGCGGGTTTCAAACAAACAAAAGACTGAACCATCTGAAAAGAAGATTAATAAGAAACCTTTGGAAGGACCGCGTCAAAGACCTAGTGATGGTAAGTTAATCTTAACCACTTTTTACATCCATCCGCAGATTGTTTCAATTGATTTATATTTTAGCTGACACGATTCAAAGAATGTTGGCGAATCTTCCAGCGAAACGTTCCAGAAGAAGTCTGATCTCCCTACGCGACGTCGTTTTTAAATCGAGAACTAATTCGAAATCCCAAAACCAAACCACCCAAACAAGAAAAATCGCTTGTGGTAAAACGATATGCAACAAACAGTCCACAGTGCCAAATAATTCAAAAGTTTCTAATAACAAATCGCATAGCAAGTCTCTACGCAGTATAAACAAAGTATTATCGTCCAGAATTTTGGACTTTAACTCTTCGATAATGGTCAAGAGAAAAATGAAGGCCATACATAGTCGCAGGTCGACTATACAGAGGCTTAGAGAACAAGAAGACGATGACACGAGTTCTGTAAAGTCTGATGCATCGTCAGTGTCGCAAAAACGAAAATCACCCAAGAAAGATTCTGAGGAATCAAGTCCCGAGACAAATAAAAAGAGGACATTAGGTAGAAAACTAATAACCAGCCGACTGAATATCAAGAATTTTTTTCCAATCAGAAAAAAATCATCGGAGAACTCCAAAAGTGCTGTTTCGGGAGATTCTTCCAATACCACCGAAAATGCTACAAGAAACAAAAAGAAAAACCAAGCACTTGATGATTTGGAAGATAATAGCAATTCCGGTTATACGCAGCACTTTAAGACTAACAAAAAGGGAGGCCTAAAAGGTTTCGTCAGAGCTTTGAGTTTGCGGAAAAGAAATTCGCGAGAAGATGACAATATTCAAGTAAACCAAGCTCATTTAACTGATGCTTCCGACCCAAAAAACACAACTGCAAAAAAACCTACTAGAGTAAAAGCGAAAACTACAAAACCATCTGAAGCTAGTAGTAATCCTGATAGTGAAGATACTAAAACAGAACAGGCTGTACCGAAAAAGCGAAAATTACAGCGTCGAGTACAAGATATCATCGACAAAGTAAAGAAATCCAAATCTGAGAAAACGCAGATACAACCGACGAAGAAGAACCTACCGAAGGGAAGCCAAGAGCAACCTTTTTTAGAGGAGAAGAGCACACTGTTGGATATTATGCAGCCGGAAACAGTTGTGTCTCCCGCCGAAGTCAGAGAAAACATGTCAGGCAAGAAAGATCATGTCCCTATTGTTCCCACCCTGTCAGATTCAAAGGAAAATCCTCCCATACCTGAAACGATTTTCAACTTAAACAACAGCGAGGAAAAGAGTTTGCAGGCCAAAGGTCAGCTGGATTTTGATCAAAAAACAAAAACGAATGTTGAAGTTAGTATAGTTAGAGAGAATCCCATTATTTCCGTTACCACTGATGTTTCTTTAGAAGAAACAAAACATCCTGTTATCCCTACATCGAAAAGCGAAAGTATTTTACCGGTGCTCGTAGATACGACATTAAAACCAAAATGTGTTCCGATGGTTTCGCCTAATTTAAAAGGAAAAATAAAGAAACCTAATAGGGGATTGAATGATTGTATTGCCATGCTCACCAGCAAACTACAGCAAAAAGAAGAAAAAGTGTCCTCATCTTTAGAAAGCCTGTTTAGTACGTCCTCAGTCACTAGTTCCGAAGTACGAAACGAGTTTAGATCTCCAGTCGAAAGCGGTTTTCCACCTTTAAAGCAACAAAAAAACGAATGTATACTTAAAATTCCATCGTTTAAGGCATCAAAATCCCCAGTGGTCGAGGAAGAGGCTGCATTAGATCTCAGTAAAAAATCCTACAGTAGTCCAAATTTACTAAGCGCATCTCACAATGATATTAAGTTTGACGCCATAGAAAATACTATAAACCGAGTTATTGAGGGAGTTATCGAACATAAATGTAAAGAGGTACTAACAGAGAAGTTAGCAGCACCTACGTGGTCTGTAGACTTAATTAAAGCTATCCAGAACCCCTCTAGCCCAATTAAAAAGTTGAATAAGAAAACTTTCTACACAGGTCGAACCCACGTCGATGATACTATTGATTTCGTGGTTAATTCCAGTAGTACTTGGTATGAAGAGAAAAACGTAAGCCATGAAGTTAAAAATACGTCTTCTAAAAAACCAAGAAGGAGGAAAAATTCAGACGATAATTTAATTAAAGATATTATTTTCGGAAAAGATAAACTTATAATAGCCCCATCGAGTACTTTGCAAGAATTGCCTTTAATAGCAAAGATTAAAGAGAATGAATTAAAAATGCAACAAAGGAATGCTATTCTAGCAAATCAGAAAAGTCTTGAAGAAGCCCATAAAAATGCTATAAATCTAAGTAGACCGTGTCCAAACATTGAAAAACCTGCCTTTATTTCATCTAACATCGTTCAACACCCAGAGCTAGATATAACTATTACAAAGACAGTATCAGAAATAAAAAATATTACTTCTAATAATGAACAAAGCCCAGTAAGTTCTGACGAACCCAAAGAGGATAAAACACAAACTCTAAATGCAACTGAGAATATTGAAAAAAATATAACAAATAATATAAAACTAAACGAAGAATCGAATAGTACTATTTCAGATGTTAAAACAACTAATGTGACTGATGCAATTGTGGTGGTAAGAAAAAGAGGTAGGCCTCCTAGTAATAAAAAGAAGGTGAAGGGCGAAAAGAATGATATAATTGATAAAGCCAAACTTCCCGTTCTAGAAACAAACATAGATCTAGTTTTACAGACTCCAGCACCATCAAAGGAAGGTAGTGCTACAAATATTCTACCAAATCCAGGTACCGATAAAATTAATTTAACTATTGACACAGTATTAGGCGTGGAAAACGAAACGCCTCATATTTTGGAAAATAAAAGTATTGACACTGCATCTACAGCACCGCAATACGAATCTGAAGACGAGTTGCCATTAGCGGTTATAGCAAAGAAAAATCTAAACAAAAATAAGGCTACCAAGGAGAATTTTGAAGTGAGTTTGGAAACATGTACTCCCGAAACACTAGGTAAATCATTGTCTAAAAACGAAACCGAAGATATAGTTGCACATTTAACCACCGACAGCTTAAAGGAAAACGATCAAACCCTGAATCAAAATGAAAATGTCAATATACAAAAGGAACCCGTACTTGTAGAGAACAGCACAGACATAGTTAAAACACCGAGGAAGAAACGTAGGAAAGCAAAATCTGTAGTTAAAAAGCCTCCTGCCAAATCCAAAGCAAAGTCTCTTTCAGAGACCAGAAAATTACAAGAAGTTCTTAAGAGTAAACATACCTCTAATAAGTTAATTTTGGATAACCCAGATTTACCGCAAATTGGCAGTTCGCTGGTACCAAATTTGATTGAAGAACCATCAGAATTAGTAGATGACAGAAAATCCGTTACCGAGAACGATAATCTAGTTAATTTGTCAGAGAACCTTTACAATAATGATTTTTTTGAAATAGAAACCCTTAAAAATACCAGTAATAGCATTTGTAATATGGAATCAGAAGCCTTAAACAACTTAGAGTCAGTACACCAAGATTGTTCAGAAACTTCCTCAAAACCGATTGAAGAAGAATTAATACATCCCGAAGGTTCTAAAGTCAATCTGAAAGACCAAGATCCCGAATTAAATATACTTGAAATATCTACTGAAGCTATTGATGTCGTTCAGCAAGTTGTAACACAAGATAACAACGATAATGCAAAGAAACCATCTAAAGATTTAATTAATAGAGGGAACAAAGAAGATGAAGTTGGTGTTTTTCAATTAGATCTAGTTGAAATGCCTAATGAAGTTAGTGCTGTTACTGACCAAGATGGGACACATGAAGAAAAGAAAGACAACGAGGAGGTCACTAAACTTACCATTAATAACACAACAGAAGAACAGGAAATTAAAAAAGATAGCCAGTCCCTGTTAGATATATCTCTAATACCATCTGAAGTTAGTGATGAAATTAAGCGAGATACCAATGAATTATGCATGACTAATGCCGATATAAAAGAATCAAATGAAGCTGTTTTTAATAGCCAAAATACGGAACTAGAACGAGAAAAGGACTGTGCCATATTAGACATATCAGAAGTTCCTCTTCAAGATAACAATGAAGATGGTGGTAAACAAGACATCAAACTTGCAAATAACAATAAAGTTATAGATGAAGATGAATCCCTGTCCATCGGAGTTAACGACGTCACTCAGTTAGAATCCGATCATATGCCATCAGATAACGATGCGAAAGAATCAACTAGAATTTTCCTTGACAAAGAAAGAACTTACTTAACTCGTGAAATAGAAGAATATAATAACTTCAAGTTAGAGACATCTAAATTACCTAATCAAGTCAGTGGCACAGAGCAAGATTTAAAGTTTGTAGATAATGAATTATTGAATGAAAACGAGCTACCAAAACTATCTACCGACAACCAAACATCGAAAAGCGACAGTGAACCACAATCAGTTATATCTGAAATACCCGCTCAAAAGAGCGATGTTTTGGAGCAAAATAAATTACATGAGGATCCTGAAATTAATTTAAATGAATCAACTAAACTTGTAAAGAAACGAAGGGGAAGAAGAAAGAAATCTGAGATAAATATTGTTTCTCAAGTTACTGATGTCTCTAAGCTAGAGTCGGAAATTGTAAATACCGAAAATAATGTAAATGAAACTAATTTAAATAAACCAGAAGTGTCTACATATCAAATTACAGATGCTACTGTACAAGATTCGATACTTGTAAGTAATGAAATGGATGTTAGTAAACCATCTAAAGCTCTAGTTTCTGGACGAAGATCTAAACGCAAAAAAGAAAAAAACAACGAAACTGAGCTAAATACATCTGAAAATTACAATGAAATTAATAGTATCGCTAAAGAAGATGAATGCAATGTAAAACTTGACAAATCCGAAGTAACTTCTGACGTTAACGATGTAATAACACAAGATTTATTAAATGTAAATAGTGAACCAGCTAAAATCCTCACTACCAGCCGAAGATCCAGGAGACAAAGAGAAAAACCAAATGTATCTGAATCAGACGAATCTGCAAATCCAGCTCTGATTAGTGATACAAGCAAGAAAGATTTGGTAAATAACGAAAATGCTGTGGAATGTGATGAATCACAATTAAATATATCTGAAATTCCTACTCAAGAATATGATGTCAAGAAATCAGTTACCAGCCGAAGATCCAGGAGACAAAGAGAAAAACCAAATGTATCTGAATCAGACGAATCTGCAAATCCAGCTCTGATTAGTGATACAAGCAAGAAAGATTTGGTAAATAACGAAAATGCTGTGGAATGTGATGAATCACAATTAAATATATCTGAAATTCCTACTCAAGAATATGATGTCAAGAAATCAGTTGAAAATGTGCCAAATAACCAAAAAAGAAGACGCAGAAAAGAAAAAGTCCATCAGTCTGAGCTAGAGGCATCCGAAATTTCTAATCAAGTTTTTGACGACTTCAAACAAGATGTTATACTTTCATGTAACGAAAATTATGTTAAAGATCAGGACTTGCAATTAAATATGCTTGAAAAGACCACCGATATTAATGATGTCAATAAGGAAGATTCAATACATGTAAATAAGGAAAATGATGCCAATAAACCAAAGGAAGTTTTGATTAAGAGCCCAATTACAAGACGCAGAAGAGTCAAAGGTTGCGCATCCCAGTTAAATACACCTGAAATTTCTACTGAAAGTCTTGATGCCACTAAGCAAGATGCTGTAAATGTAAATATTGAAAATATGGGAAAAGATGATTTAGAATTAAATATATTGGAGAAGGATATCCAGATTAGCGATGTTACAGTAAATGATTTGATTCAGAAAGAAAGCAAAACTGATAAACCAACTAAATCTTCCATTAACAGCCCGAGAACTAGACGCAGAAAAGGAAAGAACACCCAATTAAATGCAATTGAAATTTCTTCTGAAGTTAATGATACCACTAAGCTGGATAGCGAAAATCTTATAAAAGATCTTGAGTCTGATTTAAATTTAGAGAAAATATCTACTGAAGCTAATAATATTAGTATGGAGGGTACTGATATAGATAATAAAACCGATACTAATAAATCAACAAAAAAATTGGTAAATAGTCCAAGAACAAGGCGACGCAGAGTAAAAGAAACTGATGATCAAATATCTGAAAGTTCTGTTCAGGTTAACGATGTTATTATCCAAGATTCAATAATAACTGATACCCAAAATGATGTTAAAAGTGGCGAATCCCAATTAGATATAACCGAAATGCCTTCTCAAGATAGTTATGTCCCTAAACAAGATTCGCTAATTGCAGATAATGAAACAGATATCAAGGAACCAACAAAACCTTCCGTCACCAATCAAAGAACAAGACGAAAATCTAAAAGCTCTAAAAAGATCGACAAAATTAATAATGAATTGTTTAAAGATTTTTCTTTGGTAATAAATAAGAAAACTAAAAGAATTCTTCCGTCTAGTATAGTAGATGATTCAGTTTGTGATGACGTTTTAGATTCTGACATGTTAGTCATTTCACCCACAGAAAACATTAAAAAGATGCCCGACAATATAGATGCAGATTTAAACAATTGTTTAAAAACTTCTCTAAATAATTCTCTACTGTTGTCCCATAGTAATTCTGAAGATCCTTCTCCAAACAGTTCTATAGAACTAAATGATACTGTTGAAGAAATGGATATGGAACTCGAAGATATTCCCATAAACGCTAGTATTATTGAGAGAAATGACGTACAAATATGTACCAACAAGGTTGTCGATTCAAAGTTAAAGTTAATTCCTGAAATTAATACTAGTCTAAACACCTTGAATATACCAACACTAGATAAAATGACAGGAGATAAAGAAAGTGAAACAGATTTTCATATATTAACTAATGAAGAAGGGGTAATGAATCTAACTGATAATTTACAGAAAGAGACAAATATTAAAGAAACTAATGCAATAGACGTTGTGAGTGATATTAAAGAAATGATGGAAGAAATCAAGTCACAATCTGCCAATTCACCTCTTGATGATTGTCAGATAACAAAATTGCTAAGCCTTTGCAAAGAAGCCTATGTTGACATGTCAAATAATGATATTATTGCAGCACAGATAGCCCTGGAAGTTAAAGAAAATATTTATGATCACAATGATCTTATAGGCCTTAAAGAAACAAATTTATTTGACATTCCAACAAATGACACAGATAGCATAGCAGATACACAAACTAACAGTATACCTACAGAAGATTTGGAACAGGCCATAAAAGTCAGTGATGCCGAGAAAATAAAATCAGATATCTTTTTTGAAAACCCTTCAGAGGAACCCTTAGACCAGTCTGTTGTTACAAACGAATGCGATATTGAAAATTTGACAGAAGAAAATATTTTTAACAGTATAGTTACCGAAGATTCAGGGTTTATTGAAAAATCGTATGAAGAAAAACCCAAGAAAAACAAAAAGAACAAAACAGTAAGGCGGACTTCTAAAGCATCTTCCAGAATAAAAAAAGCGGTAGAATCATTGCAAGGTATTGAATTTTCTGATGCAGACAGGCTAATATTATCCGAAGATATACAAAATTCTAAAAATAAGGAAACAAATATTATATCTGATAACAGTTTTAATAGCACTGATAAAAAATCACCTAGACTCCAAAGAAAAAAGAAGGAACAAAAGTTGTTAGATTCGTTCAGCGATTTAAATGTCTCTAGTGTTGACACAAAACTAAACATAAACAACGTTGATACTGAAGATATCGACTGTCAGAATCTCAACATTTCTTCTACTGATTTAAATTCGGACTTTTTACCGCCCAATGAAGTCCAGGGGCGTAGAAGATCAAGCAGAATTGTTAATAAGGAAGTTGTAACAGATAATGAAAATAGTAAAAAAGATGAAGTAACCGCACATGAAGTTAGTCCTCTTATTTGTAACGATTCTCCAGCCAAAGTAGCAGTTGCTAATGACCAAATAGCAAATAATAAAAAGACGAAAAGGTCTATTGAATTTACAGAACAGAAAACAACAGAAATTGTCAAATATAAGAATATCAGTGAAATTGAAGAGTCAATTTTGAATCTAGAATCTGTCGGTACAAAGTCTCGAAGATCGCGTAAACTTGTGAACTACAATGAGGAGAATCTAGTCAAACAAGCACTGGGTACGGCGGCTGAATTACTGGAGACTGATATTTCAGATCATTCCAAAGAGACTGATAATTTTGAAAAATCTGACGATAATTCTCTGGCTTCTGAACATCCAGCAAACACTGCTGACAAAATAATTTCCTCACCAGTTGTACAAAAAGAAGAAGACTTCATAAATCCTTTGAAAGTGTTTGATTTTGAAGATTTTTTCACAAGCGATGATAACGAAGCAACCAAAACAGATGAACAAGATATTAAAAATACATATCTTGATCAAAATAAAAGTAAATTATCTTTAACTCAAAAAGTTGGTAAGAAACAGTCCAAACGACGCCAAAAGAATACCAATAAGAAAATTAATAACACTGATCAAGAAAAAGTCAGTTCAATAGCTAAGAACCCTGAAGAACTTACTTTCGAAACTCTTCATACTAATCCGGTATCTGAAGAAATAGAAAATACTGTAGTGGAACATATGGTTGAATGCGTCGAAGAAACAATAGAGAATGAACATCCCGAAGAGGTAGTAATAAGTCAAAATATATCTGCAGAAAATTTAATTGAAAATGGTGTAAACACTATACCAAAATTGAAAATTTCTAAAATAAAAAGGACTAAAAAGTCTTTGGTACAAAATGAAAACGAAAAGACTCTGAACGAAACAAATGATCAGAGATTGGATGACAGTACAAATCAAGTTGAATATATAAATTCTACAGAATCTATAACTGATCTAGAGAGAGAAAATAAAATTTCAAAACGAAATAAAGGAAAATATAATTTGGAATTAGATATTGATTCTAAAACGAGGCAAAACCGTCGTTCGAGAAGAAATATTAATTACAATGAAGAAAACTTGGAGAAAACATCTATAGAAACAAATTCTACAGAACCTCAAGACCCTCCAACAGTTCAGAAAGATGTAGAATCAATTGAAACTTTAGAACTTTTAAATAAAAGCGATTCCAATAATGTTCAATCTGGAGAATTTAAGCAAATTACTACCAGTCAAGAAACTTCGAGCTTTGTTAAAGAAATAACAACGGAACTTGGTGAAAAGGATCTAATAAACGATCAAACTAATGAGGTAGAGGAGAAAAATATACCAGAATTGGCTAAAGAAGAAGATGTAATAGATAAGGTTACTGTTTCAAAGAACCTTAAAAGACCGAGGAGTGTTATGGCACAGGAAGAATCGGATGACAGCATAAGTAAAGAGCTTTTTAAATTATATGAAGATGAACAAGCCGATCTAAATAACAGCGCATCAATTTCACCTACTAAGACCCCAGAATCGAGAAAATCTAAGAAACCTAGAAACAATATGGATATAGATATATCAAACATTTTGGATGTTGACAGTGGATTCGAGAATAGACGATCGTCCAGAAATAAGAAATCTTTAACAAATCAGACAAATAGAATTGAAGCTGAACTGCCAAAAGATCAAGGAACTACAGTTCGTGACTCTACTGAAAAAGACAAAAATGACATCGATCTGGGAAATATTCCTCCAGCGGACATAAATATCAATGGTGAAATATTTGATACATTCAACACAGTTTTAAATGAGCCCGAAGACGACATCCTTGAATCCAAAATGATTAAATCTAGTACTGAAACGACTAGGACTATTAAAAAGAAGCAAAAGGCCAAGAAACATAAACAACTCAAAAATGAAGCGGTAGTATCATCGAAAAACAATTGTGAACCTATTGAACCAGAAGTTGACACCACTGTAAATATAGAAAAGTCCGATTCTGATCAAGTAATTTCAGATAATCACAAAACCGAAACTCTTAATGAAGTAGCTGTTGATTCTATCAATATATTCAGTAATGAAGATGAAAGTAAACAGCCGACTGTGACGAAAACTAAATCAAAAAAGCAAAAATCAAAGAAATCCAAGTCGGTCGTATCCCTAAAGAACGTTTTTAAAATGTTTGATGGTGCCTTAAAAGTCATCAATCCTAACAAAAATAGTGAAGAAGAAGCCAACGATTTCTCGGAGGTACCACTAACAGACATTATCACTAGTTCTGAAATGGACATTGCTCCAGTGCTGGATGAAATCGACAAATCCTTAGAAAGTGAAGATATCTATGAGTTCAATGAAGAACCCACTATAAAGACAGTCGAAGTTAAAACTAAATACAAAAATAAGAGCAAAACTAAATCGAAATCTTCATTTTATGTAGATATTGAAGAACCTTTAGATAATATTGACAGCGTTGACACAACCACCGTCACTAGGAAACGCTCTAATAGATCGGCTAAAACTAAAGCACTGGAAAATATAAACGCGAAGTTGGCGGAATCTGGCGAATCTAAATTCAACACTGCAATAACTAATTTATTAGATCAACTTGTGGAAGATATGGATACTAGCATTTTAGGGGATGAAGACGTTACTAACAAAATTACTGAGGATAGCGTTATGGATATTTCATCCGGGCAAACTGAAGTAAATAATTCACTTTCTGATCAAAACATACTAAATTATTCCGCTGAAGAAAAGGAATCTACCACTACAGATGCTATGGTGTCTAGTATAGAAAATTGTTCGTTGTCTACTTTCATGGCAATGGACAAGAACGTCGAGGAGGAGAATAATTTAAATCAATTAAATGAAAATCTCGAAAAATCAGATTTAGAAGAAACAAACGAGTTCCAAGAATTAAGGAGGAGCCGTCGAGGTAGTCGGAAGGTTGCGTCCTACAACGAAAACGATTTGATCGACCCACTTATTGACGCTTTAGAGAAGCGGAGAAGTCAAGTCCGAAAGGACAAGTCCGCTGACAAGTCCAGTTCTAAAAAGGATGTCTCGGTACAAGACGTGGAGAAATCTAAAAAACATAGCAACGAACAGACTACATGCTCTGTTTTTGATAAAATAGATGCATCATGCAAAGGGAAGACTTCTAATCTAGACAAATTCGATAAACTGATCGCAAATGACGACACTCGAAGCAATATCCCATCCGATTTCGGCAGTGTTCCAGAATCATACTCGTTTGAAGATAAAGCTAACGTCACTGATATTGATAAAATATACGAATTCACAGAAGACAGTCCGGAGAACACAGAAGAAATACGCGAATTGTTCAGTAAATCCAAGAAAAGATTTCAGGCTAGTAAGCGAGATTTTGTCGTTGACAGTGAGGATATTAGCGCTAATCTAAGTTCCCCGTCAATTGACAACAAAAAACCAAAAGAAGATAAATCAAAAGACAATAACAAAGAAAAACCCGCTTATTGTGAAATATGCAACAAATCATTCATACGCATAGAGAACTTGTTAAAACACAAAACCACTCTTACTCATATTTCGAAACTTTCCGAATTGGAAGCTAAGGAAGCTGAAAAGAGAGCCAGTGCGGAAAATGTTGAAGCTGATGTAGAGGATCCTTCGGAAACAGTATCTAGCGCACCCCTACAAGTAAGAGAAGAAATCAGTATAACAGACATTTTGCAACAATCAGAAACATCCGCGCCACAAGTCGTTCAAAGAGACGCAACATCTACCAATAACCGGTCTTTAAATTTGGTTGATATAATCAGTGATGTTTTAAACAAGCCTGTCTTAGAAACTTACAACGCTGGAAAACATAGTTATTCGGATATGGCTATTCAAAATAAAATTGATGGTCGCCAATATAAGAGTTTGGCTGAAAGAAAAAGTTTTGATGCCGACAGTCAGCTCTCTGCCATGAGCAGTTCAATACCAGATCCGTATCTTCAGCCGGAAATATCTAAAACATCAATCCTAGAAAAGCAGATTAATCTTTTGGAAAATATAATAGGAAGTAATTTAGAAAATGTTAATGCAAGTATCCAACCTGAGCACGAAAATAATTTTATCGATATCTCATCTTGCTCGAACGGTTCTGACGTTTCTGAAGCAAACTCTTATGTTTCGAACAGATCATTTCACGACAACACCGAACTCATGCCAGATTGCAACAATCCCCAGACAGGCTTTGTGAAACCGAATCACTATGAAGAAATTTCCGAGGATTCGACTATAGCTCGGGAAAAACGAAAAACACTAAACAGAGACGAGGAATTGTTTTTAGAATGTTGCAGTTTGTTGAAAAGTGGTTCCGAAGTATCGAATTCGAATTTTTCCAAAAACTCAAAGAAACCTTTAGGCCATCCTGTAGAGTCTAGCGAGTGCAAATGGAGACACGAAGTGGAATTAGTTCAGAGATCGGAAGAAGCACACGAGTACTCCGATAATTCGAGAACTCCAACTCCGTTAGGAGATACGTACGACGACGACGCCTCTAATTCTAATACAATATCATCGAACTGGCACTTGAACTCTGAGAAACCACCAACCGAAAATAGAAGTTTCTCTTTCGAAGAAGTTATAAGTAAAGAAGACAATGATTCGCATTCCGGGATTTCGTTTGGAGAAATGTTGACCAAAGGTCTTAAAAATCAATTCGGCTCAAGTCCAAGTATCCAACGAAGGTAAGGTTTAGTTCTTTTAACGAATAGGTCTTCACATATTTAACACTCTTTTTTTGCAAGATTATCAAAAATTGAACATTTGGCAGAGTGCCCCAAAAAATGGATTTTTTTAAATGGAACGCCCTCTACATGTATATATACCAAATATTGTATTGAAGTTTTTCTATTTACTAAATTTTGTGTTGCTATGATAAAAATTATAGTACCTTATACAGAGTGTCTAAAAATTTATATTAAATAATCATTAGCTTTAAACTTTAAACGGCAGTAATTAGTTTAATTTAAATGGAACACCCTGTATATTTTTCGAGAATCAGATGCACAATTTAATTGTCTATAAAATTGTATTATACCATTTTTACCTATCTGCTCAAGTTTTTATAGAAAATGCACTTTCTTATAATTTAGATCTCATTATAAGGTAGTTACAATTTATAAGGTGTTATTTTTTACCATACTGTCTAATATACATACAAAATTTGATTTTTTTAGTATTTTGAGCGATTATTAATCAACGCAAACCGTCAATCAATGTAGTTTGAATACTGGGATCATATTAACTGGTCCTCATTAACAAATATTTAAACAGTTTTTTTTAAATTTTTTTAATGAAACAAGCGAACTATATTGACAATATTAGTATCTGTACTTAAAGTAAATTTGTTACATTTTTAAAAATAATCTAAAATGTCAATATTCCATGGGTATATAGATAAATAAGGTCTAATTTATAAGAAAATGCATTTTCTACCAAAACTTGAAGAGATATGTAAAAAATGGTATAAAACAATTTGAAAGACAATTAAATCCTGCATCTGATCCTCGTAAAATATACAGGGTGTTCCAAGTTATTGGCGTTTAAAGCTAGTAATTATTTAAAATAAATTTTTAAACACTAGGTAATAAAGTAGTATTATTTGCCGACCATACCAATAGGTATGGTAGGCTATTCAGATCGGCAAAAAAAAGTTTTTTTTAATTTCACTCAAAATGAGTTATTTGGGTCATAAATGTCCTAAATACAAAATATTTTCATGGTATCTGTCAAAATATTTTCATGATGTCTGTTTCATGGTGTGATTTTAACCAAATTTGGCACAAAAGTACTGTGGCACTTGAGAATCTGGCTATTAGTTTTTGGTGGTGGTGGGGGGTTGGTAAGGGGGTATGGGAGGAGGTTAAAAATTTTAAAAAATCGTAACTCCAAAATTACAGTAGTTAGCGAAACGCGGTTTTCAATTTAAGATTAGGAATAATATTTGCAACAAAATTTGTAATAACATCAAAATCAGTCAAAGTCGCAGTTTTTGAGATAAAAAAAATTGAAAAAAGTCCTTTCCTACCAACTTTTTATTAACATATTTTAGTATGGGCGGCTATACGTGCCTCCCGGCGCCAATTTTTTTTATTAATGCAACACAAAATTTAGTAAACAGAAAAACTTCAGTACAATATTTGGTTTTGAAATCTTATATACGCCTATAGAAAAAAAGCATTAAAATTGTTACTGTATGTTCACAAAATCGTAAATAAAACTCTTAATTTTTTTCTTTTAAATTACTCCATAGAGTATGGGGTCCGTTTTATAAATTAAAAAAAGCTCTAATTCGTGGGGACCTGTTCGTCACAAGAGTTGATAAATTTTAAATCACATTAAATTTTTATCATTTTAATCCATAATTTGTTTTTCTAGGATTGAAATTACATCTTCAACGCCGAATTATTCCGGAGATGAAAAAAAGGACGATAGTGACTGTTCCACAGCAAGTAAGAAGATAATAACTAAAGGAGCCAGAAAAGTGTTTGAGGGTTTGAAGGTGTCGATTCCGACGGAAGAATTGAATTTGGAGCTTCTTAATCACAGTCCCTTGAACAAAAAGTATGAAACTAAAACTGCGCAAGACATTTCAGAACCTTCTAATGATACTCCTGTTACTCCATCTAAGCCAAGACCTACCAGAAAGTCTAAACCAGTGAAGAAGTCTCAGGTCGGTAGTAATTTGTTATTCAAAGTAAATAAGAAGAAGAATTCTCCTAAAACTCCAACCATTATGGATACTAAAAGAGACGTGTATAATTTTGAAGAGACTCAGTGTAATACTGATATATTTGTAAAACCCACTTCTGACGATATCATTAATAAGAACGAGTCTAATATCAAAGAAACAACTGGTGGCTTAGAAAATAGTGATAATGAGAGCCTAGATTACACGGACTCCAACGGTGCAGATGCCCGATCTATATCAACGATATCTTCTGTTTCCGCCATCTCATTCAAAAAGCCCGAAGTGACTACTCCAGAAAACATAACCAAGAAGAAATATATGATAATGGGCAAGATATTCAAAAACGCCGCCAAATCCAAGATGGACGAAATCGACGAAGAACTGAGAAATATTCCCGAAATTCCCGAAATGGACAATCTGGAGTTGGTTGAAAATTACGTCCGTAGCTGTCAAAACGTTAGCAGTCCTATCCCACCTCCGATGCCGCCTCCGGCATTTGACGAGTTACCCAAGAAACCTAAAATGACTGAAGAAGAAATGAACATGCTCTTTGATCAGTTGTTGGGTAAGGACGTAACCGATCATCACCCGACTCCCGCTGCTAAATCGCAAAAGTCGGTAAGCAAGCATTTAGGTCCGAAAGTGAAAACAGACAAAAATAGTGATCAGAAGAAAAAATGTACCAAGCCGAAAAACCGCAAGCGGATGCGGGGTAATTCGGAATCGTCCGACGACGAATTCAATTTAAATAAAACGATACGGAAAAGAACTAACAGAAAGAACAACGACGATTCCGGTATCAACCTAGAGTTGGAATTGAAAGAGTGTATCGGCGTGGCCAGCAGGAAAAGTCAAAGAAAGTGCACCAGCGGCAAACAGAACATTTTAGTAGAGTATTGGAGTTCCGACGAGGAAGCCTTTGAAGCCTTGCTCGAGACTCAGAAGATTCCACCAGCCGCCAAAGAGGAAACGAAGAAAAAACCTGAACCTAAAACGGACGATTTGGAAGAAGAAATACCGACACCAAACGTACCCGAACCCGACCTTTCAAAGGAGAACCTGTTCCTTGAACCTCCTCTAATAAAACCAGTCAAACCCAACAAACTAACCCAAAAGAAAAAGATAGCTACTACCAGCAAGAAACCTAAAATTCAAACGAAAAACCCTCAAGATCCAAACATCCCCTCTTCCACGGTCAACAGACGAAAAAGGGCTGCAGCCAATCCGTTATACCATTGGTCCAGTTCAAGCGAGGACGAGTCCCAGTCCCTTATCGAGATTAAACCCTTACGAAAAGAGTACGAAGACGAAGAGGACAGGCCCATTCAGCACGGCTGGATCGTGGGTGATTCCCCGAAAAAACTAGTGACTATGTTAGCGTTAACGAAGGGCAAAAAGACGGAAGTGGACAGTGTTAAAGAACAGGGTAAAAGACGGACTAGTAACACGGCCAGCTGACGTTAAAAATGAACGCTTTTGTTAACCTATTCGCAATATTTTAACGTGCTCCTTATAGAAAACTATTGTAACGGTACGTTGTACCGGAAAGTACAAGGAAAGAACGCGTCGTAAAAAAGTTAGAATGTGTAAATATTAGTGCTGCCTGGTATATATTACATGATTTTCATAGCGTATTACTCTCTTATATATTTTTAAAATGTCCATTAATGTAAAAAAACAACAACACAAATTAAACACTCTAGTTATATTCGAAAAGTTACGCTAGATGGGTAATGTAAAGAATATGTTGATAGTTCTTTTCTCTTAGATGGTTCTCTTTACGTTATAATACTGTTTGGCAGCTTTTTAGGGCAAATTTAAGAGTTACAGGGGTCCCAGTTGTCATAAAATTCATAAAAATCTGAACTAGCCCCCCATACACCAGCGGATTTGATCGGCGGATTTAGTCGACGGACTTGGCTCGTCACATCTCAAAACTCTGGTATTAAAATTTTAATACCTGGCACCTTAAAATTTTGATGTATTTTAAAGTTTAATATATTTTGTTCCAGTGGGCCGATTTTAATGATTTTTTAAGTAGCATGTAGCTAAATTATTAGACTTTTTAGTATCCCTTTCTAAATTAAAAATGAAAGTTCTTATCCGTCAATTATACGAGGGAAAATAAAATATTGATATTTTGGTGAAAGTTTGAAATACCCTGTGGAATATGTTAAGGTATCAAGGAATTTAAAAATCATTTTATCATCTAGGTACGTACTTTCCTAATAATTTATCGATTATTAAGAAAGTATATATAATGGAAACGGATTGTTTGGAATATTTTCAGGTTAGCGGTCAGTGACTCAAAAACTTATTTGTTTATGGCTCAAAATTTCGTAAATCTTTATTTACTTCATCAGGAGATATACTACAAAGTCAAAAATAATGTCATCAGAAAGGATCAATCAAAATACACAAAAATTATACTTAAAAAACTAAAAGCCAGTCGTATCTTTCAATATAAACATTCATTACACCAATAATCTACTTTCAGTTACAAAATTTGACAAACAAAGCAGACGTTTAAGTTACAATGAAACTGACAAAAAAAATTTATAAACAAATTAGATAAAACTAACAAACAGTAAGACAACATAGTTATACATTTGGACAAAACAAAAAGAAGGAATCACACATCTTTCTTTCTAATCTAAAAATAAAATTTTTTTGTCAGTTTCATTGTAACTTAAACACCATGTAGTGTACGTTTGCTTTGCTCGTCAATTTTGTAACTGAAAGTAGATTATTGGTGAATGTTTATATTGAAAGATACGACTAATTTTAGTTTTGTAAGTATAATTTTTGTGTATTTTGATTGGTCCTTTCTTATGACATTATTTTTGACTTTGTAGTATATCTCCTGACGAAGTAAATAAAGATTTACGAAATATTGAGACATAAACAAATAAGTTTTTTAGTCACTGACCGCTAACCTGAAAATAATCCAAACAATCCTTTAAAACAGTACGGTCGATATTCAAATTCTTTATTCTGAAGTATATATAATATATTAAGAAAAAGCAAAGGCATGATTTTAATGTAAAAATTACGAAAAAATGTTAGTGTCTTCTTCAAAAGCGAATATCTCCAATAAAAATAAAGCTATTGAGATGAACCAAAAAATAAACTATAGAGAAAAGATGTACCTAGATGATAAAATGATTTTCAAATTCCTTGCGTTTTTAACATATCCCACAGGGTGTTCTAAAATTTCACCAAAATAACAACATTTTGTGTTCACTCGTATAATTAACAGATGGGAAGTTTCATTTTTAATTTAGAAAGAGGTCCTAAAAATCAAATAATTTAGCAACAAATTGCTTAAAAGATCATCAAAATCGGCCCACTAAAACACAATATATAATATTTTAAAATACTTACATCAAAATTTTAAGGTGCCCGTTTTTCGTGCCAGTGACTGTAGATAAACGTTTATCAGAATAAAAACTGATGTATTTTCACTTAGAAAGGAAGTCCGCGGACTTTATCCTTCGATCGTTTTTTAGACCAATCTAATCTGACAGATCAAGCCTGCGGATTGGGCTCGTAACAGGCTTGGTTCGCCACAGGTTTGGTCCGTCACACTAATACAAAGTTTTTATCCGCGGATTTGGCTGGTGCTATATCAAATCGGTCAACTTATATTTTGGTGTATGGCGGGCTATTAAGATTCATAAAAATATTCCTTCAAAAATATAATAATCCGATCATTGATTTAATATAAAAAAATTCTTTGTTTTTTGAAACTGTGTTGAATGTGTATTATATTATAATAATAATTAAGCAAAAATAAAAATCGATTGTCAAAACAGTTGATACAATATTACTAATTTTGTCTACTAATTCCAATTTTTTTTTGAGGGCGATTCCAAAGAATTTCAACAATTTTTTTATTTCACTAGTTGTAGTCATATATTTCTTTGGTGGATTTCTAACTTCTAAACACTTTTTTCTAACTGATTTTTGGTGTCGTTTAATATGTCTGGTAAGTGAATTTGCTTTTTGAAAAAAGTTTCAAAATGTAGCTAATAATGAAAATAAATTTCTAAAATATTAATGAAAACGAGGTATTACTACAAAACAAAAGAACAAAAAGTTCAATGAAAAAAAACCTTTTTTAAAACCGCAGTGTAAACTAGGGTTTCCAATTTTCTGGATCGGGATCCCGTTTTGAAATTCCGGGATAAGAACCTATAATCCCGGGTTCTCGGGATTCACTATCAGAATGAGAAATTTAATCTAAAGAAATAAACTAAACTAAACGTTCTCCAACACAGTGTGAGTACATATCAAAGTAAAACCTCTAACGAGGGGTTGGGGACAAAAAACTCACAATCTTTTAACATGTTTATTTAAATTTAATTTGCTTCAAGAAAAGAAGGGAGAACCTTTTTTCTAAAGAAATACTTAATAAAAATGCAGGTACATAATATCAAAAATGAAATGAGAAAAGAACTTTATTAAAATAGACAAAACAAAGTAACATTCATATTTAGTAAGTAAAAAATATACAATTCTTGTTGAAAAAAAATATAGAAAACACAGAAATATACCTTTCAGATATTGACGTTCTGCTTAGTATAAATAAAATATGATCTTCGGAAGAATAAAATGTATAAAGTCGCATTATTTTAAATTGGACATTTAAATTTTTCGCAGTTTTTGGGATTCAAATTTTTCGCTTTTTGTGCACTCCTGGAAAATGTATGTTTTTTGGGTTTATATTTTGTTGATTCGGGGGCTATTATTTGCGTCCTATAAAAGTTCATCAATAAACGTATAGTTCTTTTTTGTGACGTCCGGATTTTGTCTGGAGTTCAGAGTTCATTTATCCGGATTTCTGAGTTCACATGTCCGGAATTTTCAAAAGACTTTATGGAAACCCTAATTATTAGCAATAATTATTTTCATTAATATTTCAAAATATTTTCATTATTTTATCTATCTTTGGAAATTATTTTTCAAAAACAAATTTTCTCGCCGTTCAATAGTAATAATGCCAAAAAATTCCATACAAAATATTTCTTTTCCAAATCGAAAAATGTTGGTTTTTCTGTCGAAATTTTTTAGAATAAACCCCAAAAATAGTTGCAATTTTTTTTAGGTTTTTAAGTAAATATACATATTACCCTTGTTTCATATGAGTTAGTTCTGGGAGTTCACCGATAGATGGCTACGAGAATAATTGCATCGCGGGTCTTTCAAAAATTTAACAATCGCAAGAACGGTAAACTTATTAGGTTACTAATTCTTATTAGTTTACCGTTCTTGCAATTGTCTCACTTAATTAGAAAAGATAAAATTTTTGAAATACTGGCGGTACAATTCTCGTAGCCATCTATCAGTGAACACCCAGAACTAACTCACGCTGAATAACTAGTTAATATATAAACAAGGATATTACTAACTAATTGTTTAGATTTTTATTTAAATATCTTTATTAGCTTCCTAATTATTTAGGTATCAAACATATTCAATACAGCTTCAAAGAATTAAAATATAAAAAAATCCTTTCAAATAAATCAATAAATCGTAAGAAATAATAAAGTATATTTGTATTAGGACCCCTGTAGTTGATGGTGTTATGGATTGTATCAATTCAGTGATTTATGATAATTTTTCTATATAAAATGTACTAGAACATTATTCGTTTGACGCACCTTTGTTGCGCTAATTTTTTCACGATTTTCATGAAAAACTAATTAATTCTAGTTTATAAGCTTCAACTTTTATAATCAAAATTCGTATGCTTCTTATTTATACCTGATCGTGCTATAAATATTGTTGAAATTGAAATTTAGATTTTTTTTGAAAGTCTGCGTGCCCTTAGACATTGATTTAATTTTTGTCGATAAGTGTATTTTCCTTTTATTTTTTAAGACCGAATATGCGTAGAGACTTTTTATACATGTATTATATACTAAATTTTTTAAGATGAAAAATATATAATAACGGATAATGAACCGTTTCTTAATATATACATAATATAGGTAATCTTGTTAATATGCAAGAACTATTGCCCGATTAGGTACGGTAGGTTTCTTTAGTGATTATTTTGATTTGGTGCTTTTTTCTAATTATTTCTATGAAATTGTATATGCATTGCCTATTATAGTCCTCTTTTGTTTTGACTGAATATAAAAATTATTTTGCTGCCAAGAATGCGATTGTGTATAGTGTTTGTTAATTGAAGAAATTCTATGTATTTCTTTCTTTAATTTGTAATTTTACCTAAAGAAATAGTCATTTTTTTGTGAACACTGTATACCTAACAATATTTTATTTTTGTAATGTGCATTAAAACTATTATAAGAAAATCATTTTTATAATTTGGTATAGTTAATTGTACAATAAAATTATTACTAGTTAAATGTTGTTTAGACTCTTATCTCTCTCTCTCTCTCTCGTTTCTTCTCTTTAAATTTTTATAGCATATGTACAGGCTTACGTTTCGTCGCACGTATACACGCGCCTAGTACAATAAGCCTGTTATTTTTGTCGATCTTTGCATTTCGTGACTGAAGTCGCGTTTTGAGACAGAAAACCTTATTTCAGGAAAAAATAATATCAACCTAAATGATATCGACATATAGGCCCAAAAGGGGCCTTATTTTGACAGTATGAACTTTCCATCCTAAAAAGTTTTTGTTTCCGCTGTTAATAGCACTGTTACTCATAAAATGGGTCATCCTGTATCTTTGAATAAAACGATTACTCTGTATAGATATACAATATAAGGCGAGGTCAAATGATGTATATTATACAAGGTGAGTCTTAAATAAGTGCAAATATTTTCAGGGCCGGTAGATATTGACAAGAGAAACATATTTTCTCTTTACCGTTTTTCAAATAAGTCCAAAATAACCGAGTTACTTTGAAAATTAAAAAAAAAAAATGATTTTTGCTTAAATTTTGGAAACTGAAGACTGAAGTAAATAATGTTCTAAATGTCAAAAAATCGCTTTTTCATGAAGCTGGATTTATAAACTCGGGAGTTGAGGTTCAGTTGCCGTTCAAAATGTTCAACGCTATGAAATGAACGCGCGCATTTATAAAGTCAGTTGGTCGAAAAGTTGGCAGTTCGTTTTACGTCCAGCGGAGTTCAAAGATGGTCAATGTTTATGTCGGCAGTTGCGGGCAGTTGGCGACCGCTGGCGACGTTCGGCGACAGCCAATGAATAGGCGCCTGTCGATCACGTGAAGCACAGTACGCCGATGCATTGGAAAATAACCCTTATTATTGTTTCATTATTTCTGTTAATGTGATGTTTATATTTTGCGTAATCGTGGATTACTGTGTTTGCACTTTGACAAATACCAGAAGTATTTTTAAATCGAAAGAAAAACGTTCGAAATTTTCACAATTCCAAACCTAACCTACAACCGAAACTGACAGTTTATAAATGCAAAAATATTGAACCTCAACTGCCGCGAACATCCAACTGCAACTGAACCTCAACTGAACGCCAACTTCCGAGTTTATAAATCCAGCTTTTTATTTGTAAAATGTCCTAAGTTCCATAACCAACAACATATATTAAGCACTATGTGCCACGGTTATTAAATTATTGTATTGAAAAAAATTCTCAGAGACCGCCACCCGTTCTTACATTGGTTATACAGAGTATTCCAAAAAACATGTGCCATCTCTGATGGGGAGATTCCTCATCATAGGTCCGATTCTGCTTTGTTTAGTAGCTACAGGGTGTTAAAGTCTTATTAAAACATGTGCGCCACTGACTTTTTTCTTTTGATATCAAAATTGTGTAGGCCGTTTAATGCCAATTAAAAGTTATCTCTGGATATTTTGTCGAATTCGGCCTCCTTGGTGAGATCAACGCAGTTTTATTAATCACAGTTAATAAAATTAAATTAATAAATTATATATTTTACCTAATTTATTATATATTATTACCTCGATTATTACTATTAGCCTTCTATTAGTCCAACCTACAGCAATTTCAAATAAAAAAATAATGGTATTTAAGATAGTTACAAAAAACCTAGCTTTAAAAAGTTTTAACATCCTGTAACTCTAAAACTGTGCAGTCAGTGGCGTACACGTTTTTTCAGAAAAATATTCCAGTGATAACCCGTATGCACGTCCCTGGTGAATATGTTGGCACTATTTTAGCCAATGACTAAAGGGTCCATTTTAGCTTTAAACTGTGGCTTTAAAAAATGTCGCATTTATAGTAACTTTTACCCTCAAAATTTCATTCGAAATGCTAAAAATACTTGGAAGAAAATTATAATAAATCGAAAAAATATAAAGACTGACCCAACCAAACTGACCACACCAAACACCCTGTAGCTACGAAACAAAGCAGAATCGGATCTATGTTGATATCAAAGGTTGATATGAAAAATAAACCTTTCATTATTATGTGAGGAATCTCCCCACAAGAGAGAGCACATGTTTATTAAAACGCCCTGTATAACAAAAAATGTCGTTTTACTTGAAATATTGATTTTGGCTCTTAGAACACACACACATTATTTATTTCGCCTTGTCTTCAAGTCCTCAACTGGGTCTTTTCTGGAATTTCTTTCTTGTAAATTTAATCAACTACCTATGTTGCCACATTATGAAAAAATTGTTTTTTAACTAAAAAAAATTTTTCAAAAAAAAAATTCAAAAAATTTCAAATTTTCCCTTTTTTGGGGAAAAAACTTTTCTGGGGTCCAAATATAAAAAAATATATATAATGGTATAACAATCAGTAAAGACAGTTTTGAATAGAGCAAAACCCATAAAACAATTAAGATATTATTAATTTTTAAAAAATTAAAATATCCTGGATACGGGCCGTAATTCAGTAATTACCACAGAACACTTCTGTATTGTCAAAGAGTAGACTCTTTGCCCTGGCTCTTGCCCTGGCTTTAATCTTAATCTGAGGTTTCAATTATGAGTTTTATGTTGGCGACATTGGGGTATTATTGTATTATTTAAATTAAAGATACGTCCATCCTCTTACCATAATATGTACTTATTAAAGTATTTGTGTTTTTATAAAACATTTATTAATAATTACACATTTAAAGATTTGTATTATTTTATATTTTTCCTAATTTTTACATTTGAATGTTTTCTTATTGGCAACATTGAAAGTAAAATTCATACTGTCAAAAATTTAACGGTTGGTGTAATTGACAACTTGCCTAACCTCCATAAAATGGCGTGTTTTATCTTTAGTAAATTACTGTGCTTAATTTTTACTTGCATTTAAAATACCAAGTTTAAACAAGTAAAATTATAAATCTTGTATAAAGGGATGCGCGAAGTTTGAAAATAATTTTAAGTATTATTTATCATATTGTGTGTAAAATTTATATGTAAACGTTAACGATGTTTAGTTCAAAGAAAACAAATGATTCGGACCATTTGAATAATTCGAAAACTAAATTTAACAACAGTTATAACAGTGTCCCCAAAGTGACTTCAACTCCTTTACATGCCTCGCCTGCTTCAATGCCAAGAAGAAACAGTATAGTTTTATCGCCACCCAAGCCACATCTGGGGAGCCCAAGAAGGTAAACATTAGAATAATATGTTCTATTACAACTACATCATAATTTTTTAGGTACTCCTTATCAGAAATGAGTCCTGCAAATAAATCATCCATAACAAATAGGTCCAGTCACATACAAGGACCATTATTAGCATCATTAAGTTATAAAGATAGCGTAAGCATGTACGAAGAAACCAAAAGCCCTGGACTAGTCGAACGAGTGGTTTTATATAATGAGGAAGCAGAAAGAAATCATGAACCAACACATCAGGAGAAATATGATAGTCCCGGATTGTTTCCAATAGTTCATTTATTTAAAAGGAAACCTCCAGTTTTAGATCAATCTTTAAATAGGGTTAAAATTAAGTTATCTAACTCAGGTAAGCATATCAATATATTTTTATGAGGGTTTATTTACTGAGATATATATTGTATATACAACACACAAGGTAATTAAGTACTTGTGAAATACGGTGAAATATTTCTGAAACATACAGGGTACAGGGTGGCGCCTCTCATATGAAGAGGCTCCAAGGAAAATGACAGTTTGTATTGAAATAAAATTTGATGAGTTTTTTTTTAATATAGACAGTGTGTCCCCAAAATAATTTAAATTATTTCTGCTCTAGGATAAGTGTCCACTTTCTGCAGATTTCTGTGATTTTTTTTCAGTTAAACTGAGACAGTCTACATTTTTATTTTATTCTTCTCTTACCCTACGATAAGTTTCCATTATTAGCAGATTTCTGTGATTTTTTTTGGTTAAACTGGCACAAAATAAGAAGATAGTTGTTAAAATTGAACTAATTTGTCAGCTATGTTAAAGTAACGTCAGAGGGATAGTGTCTGCCACCTAGATTTTATCGAATACTAAAATTCTACTGAGACTAAATCATAAAAATGATAATAAGCTAGGAAAATCTTTGTTTGGGGGTTAGGCAATCTTAATAGTATTTTGAGGAGACATGAATTCTCTATTGAAAATTTAAATAATATATTGAACGTTTCATTTAAAATAGAAGATTGCAACATTTACAAAAAGCTACTTTTTGATATGTCATTTTTTGGGACTCCCTGTAGAACTCTATATTTTTAAAAATGCTTTTAATTAACCTACAGTAGAGCCTCCTCTTCGTATGTGTGGTGCTACCCTATCCATGTATGGTAAAATAGAAGTGAAATACTGTATTTCATAATGAAATTCGTCCCAGTCATTAATCTCTCAATTTTTGTTAATTATTGCTGAATTTTTGTTATTCTTATAGATTACTTAAAACACTCACCTCTTCAGCGTAGTAGTCCCAGAAATGTTGATGGAGTATTGAGGCCAAGATTTCAAAATCAACATAGTTTTTTATCTTCATCTCCTAAAGGCAGCAGTAGTAGTGAGACAGGACCAAAAAGTGTTTTAGATGCTTTAAAGGAAATATCAAGGAAAAGAATACATTCTAATGAGGTAAATATAATATAATACAGTAGACTTTTCACAATCCGGAGTTTAACCATAGTTTTTTTATTGCAAATAATTAATCTTCATACAATTTTATGACACCCGTATTTTTTTATTTTACTTCAATTTCATCCCATTTTTTTAAAAAAATTAATCAATATTAAGAATTTCAAATTTACACTTGCAATCTCTGACGTCACCTATCAAAAGTGTCACGGTTTGCCACCAGGTACAAAGGTAAATAAAAACCATTTTTCTAAATGTATTTTAAAGTAGATATAAAATTAATTGTAAAATAAAACTTAAGAAACTCTTCGACGGCTTTCATCCAAAAGAACAGTTATAAAAACTTTTTCTGAAGAGCCTTCAGAGTTATTTAGACAGCTCTTCACAAAACAAACTTTAATGCCCTTCATTACAAAAATAATAAAGAGGGTACAACAAAACAAAATTGAAAACTCAAAGTATTTAACGCCAAACGCAAAAGCAACAAAATACAAATCTAACCTCGAACGCCTCGAACATCCGAATAACTTTGGTAGTGTTTAATGCTTCGATAAAAATGGCAGTAACCTGTTAATTATAAAAATTTAAGTTTTAATTTCTAGTAGTGAAAAATATAAAAGTAAATTTAATATTGGGGTAATAAAGAATAATCCCACATAAAAACGTATTTTTTAACGATCTTAATAAAAATAGAAAAATCTAACGTGATTTTAAGATATATGACGTAAATACGGTAGCAGAGAACTAGATACGCCATAATATTATTCTTCAGTGGCTGGAGCGCCCTCTGTCAACTATTCAGTCAAATGCTGATAGGTGATGTCACAATTTTCTACGCATCATTTCAAACCAGTGAAATTTGTATTGAATTTGATTTATTATTTATTCCTTAATTGTGCATTTCTTTTTGTATTGAGGGAGTACTTTTTAATCACTTCAATTGAATTTTATATTAAAAATAACAAAAATTTACTATGGTTAAACACCGGATTATTCTACCGGGTTCTTCTCAAAAGTGGCTCACCCCTATAACTTTTTATTTTTTAAATAAATAAAAAAACGAGATTTCGTATGTTAGTGTATGACATAAATTAAGATTGATTGACATATTCAATTGTTTTTTGTTACTTCCTGTTTTACCGGAAATTACTACAACTTTTGATTTCTACATGGCACCCTCGGCATATTTCTACTTTATTTCATAGAAAATGATACTCCGAATAGAATCCAAACCAAACCAAACCAAACCAAACTTCTGACATATTCGCATTTGGTTTATTTGAAATTGTAACATACAGTTCATAACGACAATTTGACTTGAAATACCAAGTGTGTGGTACTAAATTATTCGTAAAAAAAATGCTTTTTCCAAATATACTAATGAGCCACCCTTGTTCCACTTGAAAAAATTGAGATATGATTAAAAATAAGCTTTGAGCATCTTTTAACCAGCCAGGACAAGACACGAAAAACATTAGACGATAAAAACTGTTTTCCCAAGGTTCCTTGATTAAAAATTAGTGTTTTTAACACAGCCATGGCAGTCTAGATGGAAATTTAAAATATGATTTGTCTTTAAGCAAAAATGTCAAAAGTTGACATATGATATGTCATTCTATTGAGAGTGTCATTTTCTATCGAATAAGGTAGAAATATACCGAGGGTAAAATCAAAAGTTGTAGTTATTTCCGATAAGATATGCATTTAATCCATTCCTAGATAGATGGAGCAGGTGCATTTATATAAAAAAAAACAAATTTTCCAAAAAAAATCCTATTACCATTTCTCCTTGAATGTCTAAACTACCACAGCTGTGAATCACCCTGTGTATTAACACTATACAGGGTGTTTCCTACGATGTTCTCTATGGGTATCTCGGAAACTACTGAAGATAGAGACTCGGTTAAATGGGGAAAGAATTGCAGTTTTGTGGGATCATAAATATGCGCCTTTCAGATTTTTGAAAAAGTTTCTGGCTTACTAGATATTTCGAAAAAAACAAATTTTGGCTATTTTAAAAATTGTCCCTAATTCCATTATAAGCTATTTTAGACAAAAAGTTTTCAGATGAAAGTTGTAGATAATCACATCCTTAATGAGATTATATCCTCCGTTTTTTTCTAAAGCCTGTCATTTTTGAGATATGACACAAACATATGTTTTTTTAAATGGAAACCATAGTTGGCAATGACTTCATAAAAAGCGCCATTTTTCAAGTTTTTCAGCGATATAAGCTGTAATATGTTTTTTTTTTCGAAAAATTACTGAGTTATAGCCAATTCTTATAATTTTTAAACAATTTCTTTTGAAAAATGGCGCTTTTTATGAAGTCATTGCCAACTATGGTTTCCATTTAAAAAACATAAGTTTGTGTTATATGTCAAAAATGACAGGCTTTAGAAAAAAAACGGAGAACACAGTCTCATTAAGGATGTGATTATCTACAAATTTTATCTGAAAACTTTTTGTCTAAAATAGATTATAATGGAATTAGGGACAATTTTTAAAATAGCCGAAATTTGTTTTTTTTTTAAATATCTAGTAAGCAATGAACTTTTTTAAAAATCTGAAAGGCGCAAATTTATGACCCCACAAAACTGCAATTCTTTCCCCATTTAACCGACTCTCTATCTCCAGTAGTTTCCGAGATACCCATAGAGAACATCGTAGGAAACTCACCCTGTATGTAATATTTTAGGATTACGATTTAAATGAGGATTCCGGTAAAAGACTTCGTACAGATCTTCATAATGGTACTCCAACAACATCCAAAAGGTTAAGAGCCGACTCACCATTATTAGATGTATCACAGGATCATTCTCCAAAACAATCCCAGAAGAAACTGTGTGTTTATGATGAATACGCTGCTTCAAAATCATCAACAGACTTCTCCTTTCTAAAGAATATTGAACCAGGATTAACAAAACGGAAAACAATAAGTTAGTATATTTTGAATCAAATAGTTAAAAAATAAAGTACTTATTTTTTCTTTTTATTTTAAGGTACTTCTACAGAATCTTTAAAGGATCCAAAGCAAATCAAATTGATTAGTGTTGAAACTCAGACTGTACCTGCTATAGAAGAAAGTAAATCAAACAAGACTGATTCACCTGGTGACAGAACTGATAGTCCTGGCGTTCAAAAAGCTGAAAATTCAATAAGAATTTTTAATCATATGTCTCTCGATAAAATTAGAAGAAATCGATTGGCAGCTCTAATGGGAAACCTGGCTGGCAAAGAAGCTGATTTAGCTGGAAGTTCTATTAATTCAGTCATTGGACAAAACAGTACTTCAGCTCAGTCATCATCACAGGCTAAAGATGTTACAGTTTTGTTAACACCTTCAAGAAATAAAAAGGAAACTGATACAGTGGATAAACCTTTAACTTCGATTATTTCACCGCCTAAATCAAGAGAAACGTCACCAGTGAAATCGGACAGACATGTTCATTTTAATTTGGCAGCTTCTACTTCCTCTACCTCTGGAGATGGACAAGTTACACTCACTCAAACGACGGTTTCCCTTGTAACACCAATTACTTCATCATCGGTAAACAAAGCAGCAATTAGTTTTCCTGAACCGCTAAAGGATTCCACCAATGCCATACCTACCTCGAAAATAAATTCAACAGCAACTGCTCCATCGTCCCAGTTTTCATTTGGAAATATTGGTTCGCCTACTTCAACTCCTCAGAGTAGTTCTGTAAAAGAACTAATTAGTGGTGCTCCTTCGATTTTTACAGTCCCAAAATCTCTTGAAAGTACTCCAACTAAAACGCCTGAAACTGCTAAAACTACTAGTCCTCCAAAAGTTGGAGGTTTTAAATTTGATTTGAAGGTACCGAGTAGTAGCAACGTGGTTTCCTCTACTACTGCTTTGACGCAACCTAGTTTGACGTTCTCACCGAGTTCTTTAGTTAGTTTGCCTTCTTCATTAACTAGTTCTAGTTCAACACCGACATTTTCATTTGGTAAAACAACAGATACTAAAAGTGATACAAATGTCAAGAATTCTTTTGCTTTTGGAGTAAATACATCATCTAAAGAAAATAATGCTATGACTTCAAATATTTCTTTTCCTGTTAATCCGACAGAATCTAAAAAGGATATTGCATCGTTGCCAAGTTCAAATATAATTAATTCGTTTTCGTTTGGAAAACCCCTTCCAAATGTTGATCAATCAAAGAGTTTTAATTTTGGGTCTAAAACCAATATTAATTCTACGACGGCTTCGGCAGCACCCACCTTCAATTTCCAAGTAACTAAGTCACCTACATTTAATTTTGGAAACGCATTAAAAAGTTCGGGCGATCAAAATATTTCAGGCTCCACAGCAGCAACTCCTTTCGGGTCATCAACAGGAAATGTGGCAACATTTGGTTCAGCTATTTCTTCTGCTGTAACATCTCCTCCTCCAGCATTTGGTTCTTCTGTTTTGACTACTACTAGTTCAACATTCATAACTAGTTCTGTAGCAAGTTCTAACAATTTGTTTCCAAGTAGTTCACCTTTTGGTAAAGGTATGCCTACACCTCAAGCTAGTTCTTCGTTGATACCAGCAACCACCAACACCGCCGCCGCATCTAATTTCACATTTGGCGAAAACGGAGCTTCAAAAGCAACACCTATAAGTAAACCTTTTACCTTTGGTGATAGTAAGCCGGCCACCACAGTCGCCTCAATTTTTGGTGCTCCAAAACCATCAATTCCCAGCATTGTTAACAAACCCACTAACGCGGCTCCGATTTTTGGCAGTACTGCAGAAAGCTCTCCTGCTTTTGGGACAACTTCGTCCGTCGTAGGATCGGTGTTTGGGAACACTTCAACAGTTACAACGACGGCGCCAATATTTGCCGCCACCACAGCATCTTCAATATTTGGAAATGTTTCAAAGCCTAGCGTAGCTTTTGGTTCCGCGCCAACTACCACAGCTCCAGTTTTTGGTTCAGCGTCAACTGCATCCGCACCAGCTTTTGGCTCAGCGTCAACTACATCCGCACCAGCCTTTGGTTCAGCGCCAACTACATCCGCATCAGTCTTTGGCTCGGCACCAACTTCTTCAGCACCAATTTTTGGTTCTGTGCCAACTACTTCGGTACCAGCGTTTGGTTCCGCAACAACCACTTCCGCCCCGGCTTTTGGTGCAGCGCCAACTACTTCAGCATCAGTTTTTGGTTCAGCGCCACTTTCGACGGCTTCAATTTTTGGTTCTGTACCAACTACTTCGGCACCTAGCTTTGGTTCTGCACCAACCACTTCCCCTCCAGCTTTTGGATCAGCAGCAACTCCTTCAGCCCCAATTTTTGGTTCGTCCTCGACTAATCCAGCACCAAGTTTTGGAAGTGCCGGGTCGGCATTTGGGGCTCCAGCCACAACTCAAGCTGCAATTCCTTCGTTTGGCACTGACACTAAACCGCCTTTTGGGTCTACTAACGTTTTTGGAACGGGAAACACGGAAACTACTAATTTTGGTGCTCCTTCGGCGGCAATATTTGGAGCTACAGCTCCAAACAAAACTATGTTTGGCTCCACAAATGCTGCAAGCGTGGCACCGACGCCCACCTTTGGATCGGCTACAAGTTCCGCCTTTGGTAATGTTCCTGCCGCATCTTCTGCCTTCAACACTGTTACAACTGCGTCTACAACAACTCCATTCGGATTTGGATCAAAACCGAATTTTTCATTTGGTTCTTCTAACGAGAACAAAACTAGTACTGCCTTTGGTTCGGGGGCTGGTAATTCTGCATTTGCGAAGCCAAACAGTACTCCCAATGGTTTTGGAAATACAGAAAAAGGGTTCAGTGCGACGTCGGCAGGATTTGGTAATACCGCTGGAGGATTTGGCAATACCGCAAATACTTTTGGTAATTATAAAAATTACATTCCCGCGAGGAAGTCATAAATACATATTTCTTTTTTCAGGAGCAGGAAATAATAATGCTTTTGGTTCATCGGTGCCTTCACAAAATGCAGGTTTTAACTTCAGTTCCAACTCGACGCCGACAGCATCATCTTTTATGACACCTGAGATACCAAAGCCAACTTTTAACTTTACAGGTATGAGTATGTTTTATTTTACTACTTTAACCACATGATAAAAGCATGCCCAATAATAAGACAGATCATTTTAACTTATCTTATGCAACAAATCTCATGGCGGCAATTTACACAAATCTTCATGCACTTTTGCAGATCTAACGTTTTTTTTTTTCGGTATAGCAGCGGAAAAAATAATTTAGCCGGCTAGCGGCTTATTGTATTATATTCTTAAAGTACCTATGCTTAGAATCTTCGAAGTCTCGTTAATTCTGTCTCAGCACGCGATGAGGACCTTACCAAAAGATGTCAAAAGGTTCAGTTTCAATATCATTCCTAGCGGATTGTAGCGGCTTTAAATATACGAATCTAGCGGGTATGCAACTGCAAGTGTTGGCAACCTTCAAGGTTATTATACTCTAAAGGTTACCTCACCTAAGCCTAACCAATCATAGCGCGTGACGTCAGCCCGAGACCCAGTTCCTCTTTGTCTAGCCTAGAAGTTATATGAATTTTGTCTCTCTTAAAATAATGCAAAATACAAAAAAATTCGTATATTTTGTAATGTTCAATATTTTTTTATAAAATGTAAAAAATTATTTTCATATAATTTAAATGAAATGTGTAAATGTATTAAAATGTATAAAGTTAATTAATTTTGAAGATTTTGTAAAAGGATCTTATCGTGAATAAATCTTGTTTTTCTTTTTCATCAATATTTAGGTATATATTTATAAAGATAGATACAATAAATAAAATTTAATATTTGGAAATTATTATCAATACCCTTACATTTTTATTTAGTAATATCTGAATTTGTATAGTTATTGAAATAAATAAATCAAAGTACCTAATCAAAGCAATAAATTATTTATTTGTAATATAAATGATGTATATGCAAATTTAGTACAAATAGTTTTAAACAATTCAGAAATACCAATTTTACGACATGGTTTGTATAATTAATTTCTAAATATGTATATAAATAAAAATAGTTTACATTGTAAAAAAAATAAAATTTCTTAGCATTTCTGTTTTATTTTCTTAAAACTTATTAGAACAAAAGTTGAATTTAAAATTTATAAATAAACTAACCGAAGTTGTTTTTGTTATTTCTTAATTTTTTGGTCCTCTGCTATCAATAATTCTTCCTTTAGAGATAGGATAGTTTTCAATTCATTATATTTTAACAATAATTCCTCATACATTGGTTGACCAACACAAGTAATAACAGCTCCAGATGCCACGGTACTGTGTTCCTTGGCAACATTTACATTGCTTTCCTCGAAATTTTTCATTAGTAATTCCTCCACCGTCACTTGTGTTCTTCTTTGTTCAACTCGTTTTTGCCTCAATGGATCAATTTTGTCAGGTGGACTGACTTTTTTTTATTATTACATAAGATTCTACTCATACCTATATAACTAAAAATATTATATTACAAAAAAGCCGAAAAGCTTTAAATTATTTACCAATTGCTTTTAATGTTTTTTTTAGTTTCCAAGTCCTAATAATTCCTCTTACTTGAAGATCTCTTTCATAGTCGTCATCGGTAAAATGGTCTGAACAAATCCTACAAGTTTCTACATTCCATTTTCCATCTCTACAACAACTCTACAGTATGTTTTATAGGATTTATCGTTTATGAGTGCGATTTTCACATTACTTTGCTACTTTTTTATGAAACTAAATATGCTTTTATGAAACTAAACACAGGGCGAATTTGTGATGCGCAGTAGTAAACAGATGTTGAATACAGATATGATGCGCAGTAGTAAACGCAACGTCTACCGGCAGCCAGACGGATACCGCACTCTGTTCAGGAGAGAACAAAAGATATTTAAAGAACCAGCTTTCTTAAAATTCTCTCTCGAAAACTAGACTATAGACTATTAGCTCTTAGACTATAAGTAAAACATCGAAATCGTTATGGAAATGAAAATATAAAATGGCACCAATCACAAGCAAATCGTAAAACCTGCTTAACGCATGAATATACGTATAAATAATATAGATTATCGATTGTATGGGAGGAAGGAAGTTAATTACCGCGACCTTATAGATCTATTGTGCCCCCCTTTCTTGAACTATAACTTTTCATAGTCTCAGGATTGTAAGAAAAGCCAGTATCCGAGACGGTTTTCCAGAGGTTAGTTCTCAATCTCCGATATCAATTGTACCAAAGTTTATTGCACGAATGCTTGTCGTCTCGACGCTCATTGATGATGTGTTCTGGTGTTTCCCCATTTTCCCCACAGAACTGCATTCTGCGCCGTTGTTTCTTATCTTCAATCTACTTAGGTGTTCATTGAGGAGACTGATGTGGTGTCCTATAAATAATATTAGACACCTTTTTTAGTATTTTTATTTAAACATCTATCTTTATTGCTTAACCTACACAATATCATATAATATCATTTTTTTAAAGGAAACACAGCCAATGCTTCATTTACTGGTTCAAGTAACCCCTCTGCTTTTGGAACCACCGCACCAAATTTTTCCGCTACAGGTCCCAGTTTTGGAGCCGCAGCGCCCCCTGCTGCAGGTGTGTTTAACATCGGCTCTGGATCTACATCTTCAGGGCGAATGAGGACACAGTTAAGGGCAAAAAGACGAACATAATATACTTGTATGGCTATGTATGACTTATAACTTTATACAATAATATTTATATGCTTTTTTATGAAAGTGTAACTCATATATATAAATATAGTAAAGGATGTAATTAACAAAGTAATGTGGGAGATATGAAAGAACAAAAGTTTGTTTTTAAATTTATTTTTAATGTACCGTTTTTTTTAATTAGATAAATATTCTTATTTAATACTATTCTGTTTGTATGAAACTATTTCAAAAGATGTAAATATGCGACGTAAGCATGATCTATATTTTCTTATGTCTTTATTTTTGTTGTATATATTTATAAATTATTTATGAAAATGTGATATATGTAATTATACATAAAGTTTTATTATTCGTCATGCTTGCAGATGCATATGCGTACAGTGATGGAAAATATGTTAAAGTTGTTTATTTTTACTCCAGATTTGTCGATTTTTTAAGTATGTCGCGGGTTCTTTTCTTGTTACAAGATTGTATATTTTAATAAGAATAAATTTTTCAGTAATTTAAAATTGTTTTACTACTTTCTTAAATGCAGCTGGGGCTTCCAAGTTTTACCTTATGGCTACTGTATAAATAAAAATCTTTGATACAAGTTTAGTACAATTCAGGAGATTATTACTTTTTAAAAATGAGGGTGGGTGTTTGTAGAATTTTTTTCAATTTGGCGATTCCCTTCAAAGATAATAGGCTTGTTCCATCATATCCTATTGGTATGTTTTTTAAACGTTTTTGGATACTACTTATTATAATAAGTGCACCATTAAAATTTCAAAACGAAATCTTTTGCCGTTTTCGAGATATGAGAGCTTGTTTGTAACGGCTAGACGAGGCCACGCCCCCTCGTGACGTAGTTCCACTACACCCGACTTCGGCCGTCAATCAGTTCGTAACGGAAACACTCATTTGAATTAATGTGATTTGTCATTTTATCGTTATTTAGACTATTTCGTTGGTTTATTTTCACAAGATGCATTCGGTAGGAAAAGGGTTCAATAAAGCTGATTCGGGCAATCTCCCAGAAGCGGACATTTTTATGATAATGGATTATTTTAATAAAAATAAGGAGTTTATTAGTTCAGAAATGAAGGAAATAAATTTACAAAGGTAACTAAGTAAACCCTTTAATTTCTATTATATTTTCCTTCTAAGATATTTTCTATTGCTTAAATACCTATATCTGTATCGGAAAGCAGTGGCGGCTCGCTAGGGTAAAAAAACAAAGGGTTATTTACCCTATATGAAAGAAGGCAACCTATGCATTCTCTTACCTAACCTATGCAATCTTCTTCTATTTGTAACATTAATACAATTAATTAGCACTTTGAGGCTTTTCGGCTAATTATTGAATTAACAATTGTTTATTGTTTATATTAATAATATAATTAAGTTAGAATATAAATATAATTAATATTGAATTAATACATAATAATTGTACAAGTAAATAAGAGACTTTCCTCAAATATATATTTTTTTGTTTCCTTTAATGACTAAAGTAAATTTTAAAGCGCTAGTACCTTAAAGTAATATTATTATATATCGAAGTGTGGCGAAAAACATTTTAACACGGTTGTAGAAAACTATTTTTAATTATTTTTGAATTTTTTTAAATTTTATATTATGGATATTATCTAAAGGTTTATGAAGTAAGAAACAATTAAAGCATTATTATAAATACTAGTGAAAAAAGTGTAATAGAAGCAAAGTGTAATGACTGTGCCGCATCCGAACGTGCAAGCACGCGGTAGCATTTCTTATGTGGCTGCATAAATTTGATGGTTTGAAATGCGCTCCTCTTGATTGCTCTTGATCATGCATTTTAAGATCCTTGTCTACTGTATTGGCCCCGAAATGAAAGTTTTCATTTGCCTCCTGCCTCGCGTCTTTTAATATTTCCTTAATAATGGCTGCTTGTTCTCTTTTTTTCGCCAATCCTCGAGGCTTTACACTTTACAGTATTTGAAGCAGAAGATCGTTTTTTTGGCACTCAAAAATGTAAAGAATAACACCTGATTTTAATTTTATTCTTCCCGATTTCATAGTTTTTAAGTACATATATGTAATTTTCTGTCTTCTTCAACCTATATTAAAAAAAACAGGAAACACTACTTGTAAGTATTAACGTACATTAAAGTGATCTTCACAACAAAATCTGGTGCCTCTGTCAGGGACAAAATCATGTCTTCACATTGCATGCTGCCATGCTCGTCTTAACTTTATGTCGGACGGTAAAGAAATAAATAGTTTTTCTGGGGACTTTTTATTCGTATTTGTGCATTCTGGCACTACATAACGTTTCCTTGTCTTTTTTACACTAATATTGAATAAAAGAAAGACTTTAGTACTACACTACGTTATACTATAAATTTAAAACACACTTTCTGTAATCGGGCAAAGCAGACCTGTGCATTGTATCGAGCGCGGTCGCCAGCCGACCTGTGGTGCTATGACGTAGCGGCTGGCCACGCCCCTTTCTCGCCCAATAGATGTTTGTACGTGTTTTTGAGGTACTAAACGTACGAATAAAATTCTAATTTTTGGTAGATCTGTTATTTTTTAGTTGTACTTTCGATTGGTAAAATAAAAAAAAATTGTGGAACAAGCCCATTGCTTGTAGGTGGCTGGTAAAAAATCGACGTACTTGGCATTCTTCGACGGTGCTGCCACCATTGGAAAACCACGTAGAACACCGACTTATACAAATACACGAGGTTAAATAGCGAGTATACGAAAAATTTGTTCTACCATTATTTGAAAATTAAGTTCAATTTGTGAAAATTCTAAAAAAATAAAGAGCTAAATCTTTTGATACCTTCAGAAGATTTAACGTGTTTTTTTTTCAATAAAAATAAATGATTGATTGATATTATAGTATGACAAGAACAAGTCAAAGTTTACATCATAGGACAAGCCTATACATATGAAACTGCTCATTAAAATTTTTTATCCAGATATTCTTTTGATGTTAATACCAATCAATACTTGCAATATAAATAATAAAATAATAATACATATATAGTAAAAACAGTAATTTATTAGCACATAAAACATGTTTAATTAATTCACACATTATTTACAGTTTAACAAAAAAAAATGGCCACAGAATGATAAAAACAATATAATTTTGTACAGCAATGATTTATGAAAGATAAGTACTAGATAATGACAATGTATTTTCATGATTCTCTTAAATTAAAATTTAATAAAACTAATTATAACTAAAATAAATAACATGACTCCTAATTGCTCTACTTTTATGGTTTTCTTTTACTATATGGTTTCTTATGTCTATCATTTATTCGTGACTTGAAATTCTTGGAAGTAGTTCCACAAGGCTTTTCTTTATTAAATTGAAATTGTTGTATGACAGGCGTTTTAGTCGATAAAGAATCATTTATTTTCAACTCGTCTTTCTTCTGTTCCATGAGTTTCAATTTAGCTTCGATGGCTTGAATTTGTGAAACTCGATCAGTCTTTTTGGAATCTTTGGACAAAGCTAAGGCAGGAATTGAAATTTCAGGTTTCGGTTTAGGGACAGGAAGGTAATCCTAAAAAATTAATGAGTTAAAAAATGTTTAAGCTAGTTACCTAATATATATGTTACGGTCAAAGTTGTAAAACCAGCCTGTAACAACTTAATTATAGCCATTTTCGTAAATATCCAGGCTATGACAATATTATCCAATGAAATATGAATATGAATATTACTGTAAGTGTCCTGTATACATCATTGTCCCTAACATATAAACAAATCATTAAAATTTAATGTATAATGTTATTTACCTCATCGGCACTATGAGCCCATGTAACTGCAATCTTCCTTTGTCCAACTAATTTTCCGTTAAGAGATTCTTTGGCTTTTAAGGCATCTTCTGATTTCATATATGTTACAAAGGCATATCCTCTTGGTTGGCCTGCTAATGGACCGGTACGATGGAATATCAAGTCAAACTTCTCGATTTTGCCATATATTTGGACGAGTTTCAAAAGTTGATACCAATAAAGGAAATATTATGTTAGGATTACACTTTACAGAAATATATAATTAGTACTTACTCGGTGACTCTTGGGTCCAAACTGCCAATCCATAATTTACGATCGTCTAAAATATCAGTTTTATTTTCCATAATAATTCTACTAAATCTGACTAAATATAGCAATCTATTTTAGAAAATTGGAATTGAGGAATGACTAGAAATGACAACTTTTTAAATATAGAAAATAGAAATATAACCTAAAATAATTTGGAGAGATGACAAATGACAGATTAGCCAACAGACCATAGCAAACAAAACTAGATTGACCAATGTTGCCAATAATATAAAAAGATAATAATCTAATGAAATACGTTTAAATCTGTTTAAATACCCATTCATATTTTTTCGAAGAGATTTTTTTATTTGAGTTTTCATATTAATTTAGTTTTAAAATCAGACAAATTGGTAATGGCGTATTTTAAATGACTGAATTGAGTTTTTATTTGAATTGTAGCGTATGATCGAATAAAAACGGCGTCAGCGTTACCAGATCGTATGTCTATTTAAATTAATCTTCATAGAAATGTTTCTAAAGCTCAGGGGCGCATATACGGGAGGGGTAATGGGGGTAATTACCCTCCCAGAAAGAAATTAATTTATTTTAATTATTTCTTTCGAAAATCGACAACTATGAAACTATGAACCTTTCCCGGACACAAACGGTACATTGTGAGACAGGAAATTGTAGAGAGAAACAAGCCCTATAACATAGGATATAACATTTTAATGAACAGTGCTTTCCATAAAATTAATAAAATGAATGAAATAATTTTTTCGACAGTTACGAAATAATATACATGTACTGATTTCTTTCGAAAATCGACAACTATGAAACTATGATCCCTTCCCGGACACAAACGGTTAATTGTGAGACAGGAAATTGTAGAGAGAAAAAAGCCTTATAACATAGGATACAACATTTTAATGAACAGTGCTTTCCATAAAATCAATAAAATGAAAAATATACGAAATAATATACATATACTGATTTCTTTAGAAAACCGACAACTATGAACCCTTCCCGGACACAAACGGTACATTGTGAGACAGGAAATTGTAGAGAGAAACAAGCCCTATAACATATAGGATACAACATTTTAATGAACAGTGCTTTCCATAAAATCAATATAATAAAAATATACCAAATAATATACATGTACTTATTTCTTTAGAAAACCGACAACTATGAACCCTTCCCGGACACAAACGATACATTGTGAGACAGGAAATTGTAAAGAGTTGAGAATGAAATTTGGTATAAACTAAAATTGTTACAAAAAGTTAATAATACAAATTAAAACAGAATATGCAAACCAATCCAAGTAGATTTTTTCGACAGTTACAATACCTTCCAACAAAAATTTAATTCAAATTTAGTACTTTTTTGAATATTCACAATACCCCTCCCAGACTCAATCTCTAGATGCGCCACTGCTAAAGCTTTATATAAATTTTTTCTAATTTACAAATATTGCATTTTTTTAACTCTACAAAACGAATTGAACCTTTACAAAATAATAGTAAATCTAACACGTTTTAAATATATACAAAAAAAATGGTTGTGTTATTTTATTTTACATCTGCTCAATCTGACAACGTTGACAGTGCGACTTTTTCCGTTGTTAGCGTCATGTCGCTCTTAAAATTTTTCTGATTTTTCGATAGATAATGTGATTTTTCTGTACACTATTTGATTGTATTTTGTTCCTTAAGGCTTTCACAAGCCTTAAGGAACCCTTACCTTCTGAAAATGTTCTTCTGACCTTTTCTTTACCTTCTGAGGGTTCTTGTGCACAATAATAGGTCTCCACGCATTTAACACTTATTGGGGATTTTTTTACAAGATTATCTTAAATCGAACATTTTTAAGCAAAAAAATTGTTGGCTGAATAAGTTTTTTTCTTTAAAAAGCGGCCAAAAACGTATTTTGGGTACAGGCGACGGACAGCAAATATGTAAAATTATCTACACGGATTCAGTAAAAACATCACATATTAGCACTTTATTACCTTATATAGACGTGAAATGATCTAATTTAAGCAAAAATGTAATGAATCTTCTTTGTAACCATAAAAATTAAGAAAATATATAGTTATTTACAACATCCCAAAACAAGCAATTTGAGAAAAATTAGACATTTTTTCATTAGAGTTCTCATTAGTCGATTTTATTGATCAATATCATTGAATCTATGTCATTGAAATAAAACAGATTAATGTGAACATTATTTCAATCATATTGTTCAATGTTTTCGCATTTCTAGAAAACTGATGGAAGCCATTTCTGCTTTTGGTGGACCAATCGTATCGATTTAATGAAATTGAATAGTGCTTGCCAGGGGCGGATACAGAAATTTATTTTTGAGGGGGGCCCAAATAAAAAGTAATGTAGAATATGCTTTTTAGGGCGCCATTTTTAACCCAAAAGGCTAATATGTAACCCAATTTACAGATTTTAGGGGGGGCCCGGGCCCCATGGGCCCCCCTCTGTATCCGCCACTGGTGCTTGCCCGTGAGAACAAGCTGGAACAAGCGTTCAGTCACATCAAAGTATTTTTCGGTGTGTGTTTCTGTTGAAATAAGTAGATCAAAATGTCGTTTAAATGGAGGGATTTCCATGTTGCAAAATTTCTGGAGTTATATCAGGCAGAGGAATGTTTATGGAACTTCAAATGTGGAAATTATAAAAATATAACGCTACGGGAAAAAAGTTATGAAAATATTCGTGTTGGAATGGGACATAGAATCTTTAACTTTAACCGATGTTAAAAGCAAAATCAAAAGTAAAATTAAATGTTCACACAACATACGAACGCCAGCATACGCACAATTTTCTTCTTATGGCAACCATTTTTAAAACTAGATTGAATGTTCAATATTCTTGAATCATGCGAACGAATTTTCCGTTTATTTCTATTTTCAATGGTATAGATTCAATGAGAATGATCAATAAAATCGACTAATGAGAACCCGCCTTAACTAAATTTTAGCTCAATCTATGTTTCAGTAAATGAAAATAATTATAATTTGTCTGACGAAATAAAATTTCTAGTCCACATCACAACATACGTTAGAAAAGTATTTCGTAATTTTATATTATTGTTTTTTAATATTTTTCGCGTCATGGTATCAGACGCAAGAATGAAATTTATTACAAAAATTGGCTACCATTTGTTGTTAGTAACAATATATATTGTTATTAATGTTTACCCATTTACGCTTATTGTCACTATTGCAATAATACCGTAAATAATAAAAAAAAACATTTGTTAATAAATAATATCTATGCTTACGTCTATTATTAATAAATTTAAAATTGCAATAATAAATAGAATTTGATTTCAAAAAAGGTATTATCTTCATAGTCTTCAATTTTTCAACAGTATTGTTCTCAAAGAATGATAATTGATGAATGATTACGATTTTCTGGCTATTCTGATTTTTCTATATAGGGTTGCAAAGTTATTTTCAGTTAGTTACAATCATAAAATAATAAGTTACAACTTCAATGAAATGGGGCAGCATATTGCAACAAAAATAAAACTTGAAAGTCAAACATTGTTCTGTATCCAACTTCTGTATTAAGAGTTCATTCCACTAGTCCGAAAAAAGTAGCAAAATAAGCGTTCGGCATTTAACGTTTTATGTAAAACTGGCTAGGTATTTTTACACCAATGAAGAAGGAAATTAAAGATAAAGGATTATACTATATCCGTATTGTAGCACATTTTTAGACAACTTCTTTATTTTTAAGATTTTGATGGTCAAACTTCAACAAAATATTCCTATGTTTGGACTAAATTTTCTCGAAAATAAAGATATAATTTAAAATTGCGTTAAAATACGGAAATAGATTGAAATTTTGTGATTACAGTGATATATAATTTATATGATTTTGTAAAAAAACTGCTCGCTATTTTATGGCAAATGCTGAAGCTATTGCAAATGCTGAAGCTATTATGTTTTTGGAAATTTGGGTGTGATTTAACACGACAGGATCGGGCTAAGCCTTAGGCAGATTTCTGAAATATAATATACAGGGTGTTTCAAAACAAATGCGAAAAACTTGAGGGGGTGATTCCTTGTTCAAAATAAAGGGTAGTTTGCTTTATAAACGTTGGGTCAAAAGTCAACCATTAGGGAGATATCGCGGTACAAAGATGGCGGAAAAATAATGTTTTTATTTTTTATCTTGAAAACGAAAAGAGATAGACTAATGAAAATTTTACGGAAGCATTACTGTTATGAAAACACACTTTCTGGTAATTTTTCACTTTTTAAAATGAGGTGGAAGGGGTTGAAATAAACTACCCCTATCATTCTTGTTAATGAAATTTAAAGAAAAATCTTATCAAACACATGCAAAAAAAAAAAAATTAATAGTTTAGTTTATTTAGAAACTTTTTTATCTCTTGTGTTTTTTTGATAAAACTCACCGATTTGAAATTAAAAAATAAAATGTAAAGCATTACATGTCAGGACAAAAAACATTTTTAGATAAAGAATCTAGTGGGCAGCTGTCATTTTTTTAGGAAAAAATCTAGTCGGCCGCTGTCACTTTTTAGGATGTTTCTAATATTGTTTTATTTGACATTACCCTACTGCAATACGTTATTATCTAGATTATTATTATTATCATTATTATCACTAGATTCTTAATCTAAAAATATTTTTAGTTCTGACATGTAATGCTTTACATTTTATTTTTTAATTTCAAATCAGTGAGTTTTATAAAAAAATACAAGAGATAAAAAAAAGTTTCTAAACAAACTAAACTATCCAAATTATTTTTTTGCATGTGTTTGATAAGATTTTTCTTTAAATTTCGTTAACAAGAATGATAGGGGTAGTTTATTTCAACCCCTTCCACTCATTTTAAAAAAGTGAAAAAATTACCAGAAAGTGTGTTTTCATAACAGTAATGCTTCCATAAAATTTCATTAGTCTATCTCTTTTCATTTTCAAGATAAAAGATAAGAACATTATTTTTCCGCCATCTTTGTACCGCGATATCTCCCTAATGGTTGACTTTTGACCCAACGTTCATGAAGCAAACTACCCTTTATTTTGAACAAGGAATCACCCCCTGAAGTTTTTCGCATTTGTTTTGAAACACCCTGTATATTTCCTTCGACCACACACTCGCTTTATCCAATCTCATGAGAGCCACCCGGCGTAATAGACTCTTAAGTCTGGGATAATGTAATACATTATACAATTATTATTATTGGTGCATTAATTATTCCTCTATTTGATTACGTATATCAAATATCAAATGACATGACATTTTATCGTAGATATTTTATTACTAGTTTTTTTTATTATTTTTTTACTTTCTATATCTATGTTAAATAATATAACTAAATATGACACGTCATATGGTAGGTCATTTCTTGAATGTCATCTGTCGAAATCATCCCTGACTCTTTAGACAAACTTTAGCTCATGCTAAAGCCCGCGGTTACATTGGACGCGGGTCCGTGCGTTTTTTTATACGTGCGAGCTCTGACGGAATTTACTCGCACGACTATTTTATTTTAATGGTTACATTAGATGCGCGTTCATGGTGTCCTGTGTGTTGAGTTTGATAAAACGGACGCCACTGCTTTGATGCTGTCTGAGGATTTAATGTTAAAATAACTGCTTATGAACAGAAGAAAATGTAGGGTAAATAATTTATATGCAAGTAAAGGGGAAGAAAATGAATATTATGTAAAATATTTGGTGAATTAAAACAGCAACCGGTCAAGTTTTTTGAATATTTTAGAATGTTTCCAGCAACATTAATATATCCTAAATAAAAATATATAAACCTGGTATTCACAAATAATCAAATTTTTCGGTATTTTATATTCAAATGTATTGGGCCCAGAGAAATAAAAATTCGAACGCTCGGACGTGCACGTATTAAAAAACAAACCAGTTTGTTTTCATCCGACCAACGGAAATTGACGTACGTGCACGGACGCGCAAACTCCGATGCAATGTAACCGCCTGCATAGAGACCATTTGTTTGTTTTTTGCTGCGTGCACGTCCGAGCACGTACGACCAAAAAAACGTACGGACACGCATCCAATGTAACCACGGGCTAACTCACACACACAATAGATCTATAAGGTCGCGGTGATTAACTCCCCTTCTAACGGGCTAACTCTCAGACGGTCGGAAAACACACGGACAGATCTCAGGTATCAACTAAACTGACATTGTTCGAAAGTACCAATAGCTATCTGGTCAAATTTTTCATTTATGGCGCACTGGTGTATGTGAATTGTGAATTCGTTTGTCTTTATTGTGTTATGATTACGCGTGCCTTTATGAATATAAGTCTGTTCAATGTTCCATTAAAGTAGCAGGTGTGCTTGTCATTTTAATTCACAAGTAAATTGTATTTTCTGTCATGTCTTGAATGTCATCTGTCGAAATCTTCCCTGACTCGTTAGACAGACTTTAGCTCATGCTAACTCTCACACCGACGGAAACACCCTTATTCACCAAGCTCTGGACAGAGAGTCATATGCCATATTAATCGCCAACCTCAACAGAGAAGGCACCTAGGAGGAGGAGGAACTCTCAGAGATGTGACTTATTTCAGATACAAGTATTTTAAAAATACAGATATACAAAATACGTATTTTCGTCTTATATTTGAAATACTTTTTTAATTTCATCTTATATCAGGTATTTAGATATTTTTTTAGAATCTTAGTATTTTATTTGGCTTAGTAGTTATTTTGCCTTTTTGCTATCTACCACTGGCTACAGCTCGAGAACTGTGGCCAGTGGTAGATAGCAAAAAGACAAAACAACTACTAGAGCACAAAAAGAACCTAGTATGCATAACTGTAGGTGTCATCACTGGAAACTGCACCACAGGGGTAAACCTCGAGAAATGGAAGATTTCCAACGACGACTACTGCAGAGAATGCAGAGAGGAAGAAGAAACCATAGAGCACCTGCTGTCCCACTGTCCGACATTGGAACATCGACGCTTTAAAACTTTAGGGCAAGTTTTTTTGAAGGGACTAGAGGAAGCAGCAAAAGCCAACGTCAGCGACACCGGGAACTTTACAAAAGGCTGAAAGTGCTTTAGAGCAAAGAAAGAATGAGAGGAAGGTTTGGTACAATAATAATAGGGTTATCGCAATGGGCACAAGGCCTCCGAGTGAGGGATTAAACAGGATTCCAATAAAATTAAAAATCTAATAATGCCACAACGAAAGCGTGTAGTAATTATTTACTACACGCTTTCGTTGTTATATTTATTATATTATAAAATAATCAAAGTTTTCCCTTCTATTAAAAAAGGATAATCCACTAAGTACTAATAAGATTTGTACAGCCAGTACAAATCTTAGTACTGCTCACAAAAGGCAAAAGAGTATACACTTTTTCAACTGCCTTTAATTTTCCATTTCCCCTTTAAAATCCTGTCCAACGTGTCATGGAAGAACATCGTCAGACGACATCCGAACAATGATAAAAAATTCAATTCACCTGTGAATTTAAATGACAGACAACTCTCACTGTCTGATATTCCCTCGTTAGACAAACTTTATATGAAGACCACAATTCAAAGCTGCTCACTTGTTCGGAGTTTCCAAAGACATGCATGGAAACCCTATATTCAACATAGAGGCTAATTTAATGGCTATATTCCAAGAAATATCCTCTAAAAAATCTATTTTATTAATTACATTTTTTACATAAATATTCTTTGATATTTTTGCAAATTGCATATCACCCAGTAAAAAACATATAAAGTTACGTCGCCTTGAAACACGATAAGAAGCATTTCAAAATAGTCCAACCGTATTACGTTTATTAGTTTATTAACTTAGTCCAGTTCTTTCATCATTCTCCATAGCCGCGTATAAAAGGCAAATGAAGTAGCAGAATCCATACATAATACAAACAGATTACGAGCAGTTAACATATATCGATATAATTCCATTCATAAGTTTTTATTAATACGATTTTATTTTGTGTTTATTGTTGTCAAATAACAAAAGATCATGGCCAACGCGATTGTAAACTTTAGATTTTCCTGCCCGATTGGCAGGTATTCGCCGATTTCCTTTGAAAAATCTGATTCGGATCTAAAGGAAATCAGTATGAGTGAAGTGTCGTGGCATGACAACCGTCACGACTGTTGGATAGTGGTCTATGACAGAGTGTTCGACATCACAAGCTTCATCAATGAGGTAAATATTTATTTATTGACAAGAAAAGATTCTGGATGCATCATTTGCTACGCCATTATTAAAATATACAGCGGTTTTCAAGGAACTGCTTTATTAAAAGTTTTATGGAATTTAATTTAAATAAAATCTTAATGTTTCTAAGTTTTTTTTCTTTTTAAAACATTTTTCCACTTGCCTATTTGCTAATTTTAAATAGAACGCCCTATATATTTTTTGATTTTTGAATTCTACATGTAATTCTAAATATACCGGGTGCGTCTCAAAAGTGGCTCACCCTTATAACTTTTATATTTTTTCAGATAAAAAAAAACGAGATTTGGTATGTTAGTATATGACATAAATTCGGATTGATTGACGTATTCATATGTTTTTGGCCACTTCCTGTTTCACCGGGAATGACAATAATTTTTGATTTTTAAATGGCACCCTCGATATATTTCTACTTTATTCGATAGAAAATGACACTCTGAATAGAATGACATATCATATGTCAACTTAGCATTTTCGTTTAAAAAAATCTTGTTTTAAATTTCAATCTAGAGTCATGTATTAAAAGCCTTGGAAAAATAGTCTAATAAATCGTCTAATGTTTTTCGTGTCTTGTCCTAGCCGGTTAAAAGATGTCTAAATCGTATCTATAGATGCCCCATATCGTTTAATCATATCTCAATTTTTTCAAATTGAAAAGGATTGCTCATTAGCATATTTGGAAAAGGATTTTTTTACAAATAATTTGGTAACACATACTTGGTATTTCGAGTCAAATTGTCATTATGAACCACATGTTACAGTTTCAAATAAACCATATGCGAAAATGTCAAAAGTTGACATGATACATCATTCTATTCAGAGTGTCATTTTCTATCGAATAAGGTAAAAAAATACTGACTGGTGCTATTTAACAATCAAAAGTTGTAGTCATTTCCGGTGAAACAGGAAGTGACCAAAAACCAATGAATACGTCAATCAATCCTAATTTATGTCGTATACTAACATACCAAATTTCGTTTTTTTATCTGAGAAAAAAAAGTTATAGGGTTTCTTTTAGCGGCCACTTTTGAGACGTGCCCGGTATATTAGGTTTGTTTCTAGAAGTTTTATAACCAATTTCAAACTATCAATAATTTTTGAAAAGAAATAAGCCATGCCAGGTTAAAAATTAAAAAATCTTCAATCGATAAAAAATATGTTTGGCTTTTGAAGGTTTATTTCAATTACTTCTAAAAAATATACATTTTAATTAAATAGCCCAGATATATCATTTAATAAACAAATTGCTGAGAGGGCCTAAATAATTTCTGATAAACCGCAACTGACCTCTAATAATTTGGCAAACAGTGTGTTAATGCTTGATACATGATCACTGTTCCACATGATGTAGGAGTAATTAATAATGATGAAACATCACAGCCTGATTATAACCGACTAATCATTTTGTTGAAAATAAAAATAAATAATCAGTTTTTTCGTTACTCGTGATTAACTAATAATCTTTTTAGTTTTTGTGTTATTTTTCTGATGCAACACAAAATTAGTTTTTATAATGTTTGAGTATTAGGTGTCATCATTTAAGTTCATTCAACTTGATGGATTACATCAGGTATATCAAATATATAGAAAAAATAGATTTAGATTAATATTTTTATTTACTAATCTTGCTTACTTTAGTAGCTACTTCCGATCAAATAAAAACTAGTTTCAAATTATCCTTTAGTTTCAAATTATTAAATAATATTGTTTTATTTTTTTGCAGCACGAAGGTGGGGATGAAGTACTGCTTGACCAAGCCGGCCGGGATGCCACCACAGCCTTCAGAGGTGCCGGACATGGGCCTGCGATCTACAAAAGGCTGGAGAAGTACCTCATAGGGGAACTACCCGTGAACGAGAGACTCTTCAGGAAGCCTGGTGGTATAAAGCTATCCGGTATGCCAGAATAAGGCTTGATTGGATTGGACTCAGTATTGCTGGCTCAATTGAAAAATACTACTCAGTATTGCTGGATCGTTTTGAGATTAAAATGAAGTTACGTTAGAGTTAGCACACTAGGCTTTTTAAAAATTGAAAGATTTTTAATTTATATTAATCTATTTATTTATTTAAATTTAATTTATTTATTATGAGTAGCGTATGTATAATGTTCCAAGAAAAGTAGCAAAATTTTAACTCCTAGTCACTGTTATTGCAATATTAAGTATTTGTTTATTGTCAGTACTTTTATGTAAGTTTCGCCATTTAAGTCAAAGAAATATTTCATAATTTATTTAATCTAAGCAATGTTTAATTTGAATTTACACTAATTTATTGTTTATATTTATTTTTTACACTTAATAGGCGATAACACAAAAAATTTAAGGAAAAACGGGTAAGCTAGGACATATAGTCTATCCAATGGAGAATTACATGTATTCGACCGAAAACTAACAAAAAAAAAGACAGAAGAACAATCTACTTTTGATTTAAAGTGACAGACAACTAACTGTCACGGTCATTATATTCTTTAGCTGGACAGACTATAGACTTGCAGTTATAGTTAAAATTGCTTAGTATATCAATTTTAGTCTGTCGTCTTTTTGACATGCTGTTAGTACTTATTACCGATAGTATAGAAAAAATTACAGAAAATTTTATAATGTTTTGATAAATTTTAACAGCGATTTTTTTATCTTTATCCTTGTTCATTACGAATTTCAAATTTGTGAAATTCATAAAAATATGCTAACATACAGTATTAAAATATGGAAAATCACTATAATTTACCAGAATTTAAGATATGTATTACTGACCACCAAACCTGTAATTATTATTTAAAAATTCTAATTAAAAACAAACTATATTTAGTAAAACTACTGTGAGACGATTGAAGAGTCAATATGGCTCTTATTTTTAGCGAACAATAATGCAGTTTTGTTTTTAAGACTAAAATATCTTCGTAATGTTATGAAATAGTAATAAATATCAATAAAAGCTATAGGTCAACTGAACCATCAATATACATCAGAATATTATACAACAAAATCATTCTTAGGTAATTAATTTTAGGTACTTTTATTGGTTATTATTAAACAATCACATGAGGGAAGTACGTGTATCAGTGTATCAGTATTTTCTTTGACATTTATATGTATAAATTATTATTATTTATTAATATTTATGTTTTTATAATAAAATAAACAGTTTCTATTAAGTTGAACATCTTTTTATTTTTTTATTATTCCCATAATTCATTTATATATTCCCATAAACCTCATGAGTTATACAATTATAAAAATACACTATTTTGCTGTATTTTGCAAAAAAACACCTAACTAAATTGGAAGAAATTGCTTCATAAAATGTAACGATTCTTTCAATGAAAAGTTTATAATAAATAAAAACACAAATCGGTATTTGGGATCATGCAAATGTCTGGGTCAAATATGCAAAAAGTCTAAACTATGATTTCTTGCATTTATACAAACAACCTATACTGGATACAGACAGGATATTATAATACATTATAAACAAAAGTAAATTATAAATATATAAACAGTTATTATTTACATCAACAAAACTCATCTTAACATCACCCAAGGGACATAAAGAGCCATTACTACCGCTTTCCCGTTCAAAATATTCTAATAAAGTTGTGATGAGTTTTTTACGGCTATTAAGCTATCTTGTACCTTTCGCACTAAAAGAGGTTCTAAAAAGAACAATGTTCGACTGCAAGGTCTGCTACTAAACATTTTTAAGCTTAAAGTATCACAACACTATATATTTAAACCAAAAACTCGTAATACAGAACTAAAGTGTCAAAACGAATGACAATGTCAGGAAATAAATAAATAAACGCGGCAAACTTGACATTTTTTTAAAGCAGATTTACTACCTTAATCTCCAGCGTGAAATTTAAATTTCAGTTAGTCAGCACGGCGCCGAATATGTTCATGGTTGGCAGTAATATGACAGTCGCTGCAAAAAGTTAAATACAAAAATTATAGGGTTATTAAATGTCTATCGACGCGTAATAAATTTATGTATTCAGGATCGGTCATAAAGTCGTGGCACATCAAAGTTTCATTTTTTTAAATAGAAACCCCTGTATATTATTCCCATGTTTCCATTCTTCCTTCAATTCTAGGCAAAAATCGAAATACACACAATGTACCTCAAACCAATCGTTTCCGAGTTATTGACTTTTGAACATATCACTTAAACAATTTGATTTAATTAATTTCGATATGTTTAGTTTCATTTAATGATGCCATTCGGCCGAAACTGTGACTTCGCTATGAAATACCAAGTGTGTGGTACCATATTATCGAAAAAATGCTTTTCCAAATATGATAATGAGCCACACTCTATTCGAAAAAATTGAGTTATGATTAATGTATAAAGTTATTGTGTTAATCATAGTAAAAATATGATTTGGGCATCTTTTTACCTGCCCGTACAAGACACAAAAAAAATTAGATGATCAAATCTAATTTCCCAAAGCTCCTTGATTAAAAATTAGTGTTCTTAACACAGCCATGGCACTCTAGATTGACATTTCAAATACGTCTTTTTAAGAGAGTATGTCAAAAGTTGATATATGATATGTCATTCTATTTAGAGTGTCATTTTCTATCGAATAAAGTAAAACAATACCGGGGGTCCGATTTGAAAATCAAAAGTTGTAGTAATTTCCGGCGAATCCTGATTTATGTAATATACTAACATACCAAATCTCACTTATTTCTCAGAATAAATAAATAAAAAGTTATAGGGGTAGGCCACTTTTGAGAAACACCCAGTATACAGGGTGGTCCGAATTGTATTCGGAAAACTACGGCAGCATATTCTGGCGATAAAAATAAGTAAAAGTTTGGAGATACAGAGATATATTTTTGAAAAAAAATTGTATGATTAAAAAATAAAATGTTTTTATTTTAGTCAAACAACTATCTACTACATCATTTTTATTTTTTGTCAATAATGACATTCATTGATTATTTCCATTCTAGATAGCTTGAGAACGGTTGTCCGTAACGATTTTTACCAAGTCCTTTTTTACGTAAAAAATGACGGAAATGTATATTTTTTCACTCAGTAGTTTTATACAGGTACAGACAAAGAGTTATTATTTTTCATAACAGTTAAAAAACATGTACAGTGGTGGCCAAAAGTATGGAAACTTTTTACTTTTTAAAATATCACAGAAAATATTGCTATGCTTAAACTCTCAGGAATATAAATGAACAGCTTATCAGCAAATAAAAGTATTCCAAAAATTACACAGCGAAAAAAATCTGTTTAGCAGTTTTTGTAAGAGAACAATAGATTTCTTGTGGCCAAAAGTATGGAAACCATAAATAAATACATTAAAATTATTTAGTTTGAGCTGATAAACGGTACGATTTGCTTCAGATAAATATAAACATCATGCCCAAGTCTAAATATTTCTCTACGAATTTAAAAAATAAAATAGTTGAATTATACAAGAGCGGTTATAAACAAATTCAAATAAGTAAAAATTTAAACATTTTAAAAGGCACCGTTTCGAAAATAATTCGTAAATTTAATAAAACAGGGAACGTTTCAACAGCTTTTAAGTCAGGAAGACCAAGAAAGTTGTGCAACAGGACAATGAAAGTAGGTAATGAAGAGAATATCAATGGGAGATCCAAGAAAAACATCCACAGACATTTCTCGAGAAATGGGTGAAAGGGGAATATCGGTGTCTGCACGCACGGTGAGAAGAAGGTTGGATGACATGGGACATTTGGAAGAGTTGCGGTGAAGAAACCACTAATATCAAAGAAAAATAGGATGGCCCGCTTTAAATTTGCTCAAGATCATCTCACCTGGTCTTATCAGAAATGGAATACCGTACTGTTTAGCGACGAGAGCAAGTTTCAACTGTTTGGTAGTGACGGCAGACGTTATGTCCGAAGACCAAAAGGTACACGGTACAGCCATAAGTACCAGATGCCCATAGTAAAACATGGGGGTGGGAGTATAATGGTATGGGGGTGTTTTTCTCGCTCAGGTGTTGGTCCTCTTGTTAAAATTGATGGGATAATGGAACGTTTTTTGTACAAAGACATATTGGAGAATAATATGCTGCCTCATGCTGATGAAGAAATGCCACTCAGATGGTTGTTCCAGCAAGACAATGATCCCAAGCACAAATCTCGGTTTGTTCAAAATTGGTTAAATGAACATAATGTTCCACTAATGGATTGGCCCTCACAGACTCCGGATCTTAACCCCATAGAAAATTTATGGGACCATTTAGATAGCAAAATTCGAAGCCATTCTATTTCAAATAAAAATGAATTATGAGAAGTGCTAAAAACTGAATGGGCGGCCACTTCCAGTAAAAATTGTACGAGATTGATCGATTCGATGCCACGAAGATGTAGAGAAGTAATTAATTCAAAGGGATATTCCACTAAATATTAGTAATTTTTATATTATCTTGAATTTTAATAAACATTCTTCTTAAGTTTCCATACTTTTGCCAAGAAAATATTCATAATTTTTTATATATTTTTTGATAGCTGTAATTTTTTATTTAAATGTATTAGGTTTTGTAGGAAATTATTTGTAGGTCACGATTATATAAGTCGTTTTATTTCATATTTTAATTTCTCAGCATAAATGACAAATTAAAAAAGTTTCCATACTTTTGGCCACCACTGTAGGTGGCGGCCACTACAAGTAAGAGTCATGTTAACATTGAAATCGAATATCTCATGTTAGGAAACACCCAGACACTAATTTTCATCTAAATATCGATGTTAGTTAAGAAATTATTTGGAAAAATCGAAATAAAAATGAAATTTCTACACCCTGTATCTCCGAAACGAAGCATTTCAGGACATTTATACGAACTGTTTTACTTATTTTTATCTGCAGAATATGCTGCCGAAGTTCAACGAAAACAATTCGGACTACCCTGTATATGATAAAATGCCACTAGGATTATTTGATTGGTATCAGAATTATTAATAAGAATATCCTTTAAGTTTCAAATCAAAGGACACATAATTAAACAAAGTTGAATAATTCTACCAATTTATTTACAAAATTCGTGACACTTTATGTACCTAATGAATAAACCAATCAGTAAAGGATTAACCTTAAAGATTATATTTATGAAAAATAATGTAATTTGTCTAATATTATCACAGTTACGTACTTATCTTCTTAATCCAGTGTAAAACGCCCAGCTAAACAGCCCTACAAGACCCAATATATACATGTTGATCACTGTTGACTCTCTCGGCATTTGGCATTTGGTAAATGAGTAGTTTGTTGGTGTAAAAACTCCCTAAAAATATATATTACTAAAAAATAACAAACAATAACATTATTAAAACTACAAAGATTACATGAAAATCACATGAAAACCTTAAAAGCCAAGAACAAATTTTCCATTTTCTTATTTTTTATAGCAGTTGCGCCCTCTAGCGGCCGTTCTACAAACTTGAAAATAATTTCCAGCAATTTGTCATAGTCTCTTTAGTTACAAATATTTTTTTCCGTAAGCCCTACGGCTAATACTTTCCGAGATACAGCCGAGAGCTATTCTTAGTGGGACACCCTGTACAGGCGAGGCGTATTGCAGATTGGCGCGTATATTACTATTGTCCGCTCCGCTCTACATATGCAAGTATGTTGGGCCAGGGCCTTAAAAATTTTATATTTAAAATATAATATTTGCCACAATTTCATCATAAAAATAAATAATAATTCATTCGTGTAATATCTTATGGCATGTTGTAATTTTTTCCACAAATCTCGTGTACAAAATTACGCATTTTGATTTTATTTACAAATTCTTAATGGACTTAAATAAATAACTAAAATTATTTCTTTTAGAAAATTTTATAGCTCACAAATTGTGCGATTGCAAAATGCAAAATTAAATAAAATTTATCTTTTTCTTTGCAAACCAAATCAAACTAGAAAAAACATGAAACGGCCACGATGTGATGTTATGTTTAGAATAGGTTCACTGAGTTAATTATAAATACTAATTAATAAGCGCTATTAAGTTTCTACGCTCAAAAAAATATAGGGTATATGTTATTTTTAAATCTATGTGTTTAATATAGAGCCATAAAAATTTTATGTAACAAAATAAAGATCGTCTAGAGAACTGCCGCCAATTGAGATCTTCCGTTTTAATGACACACTGAACGCAAGGTAAAATAGTATGGCTAGACTGGGCTTTAAACTAAATGCAACTGTTATTTCCTTGTGTTTCTGAACCAAAAACTAAAAAAATCTATTTTAAAATTAACATTTTAGTTTAATTACTTAAAAAGGAGGTACATAGTTCTGACTGTCATGTCAGTTGGATACGACGCGACGTTTCGTTTTCATCTGCATCAGAGGACTAAGAATTTGATTCGAAGAAAAATGTGGGCCGATTTCGGCATAATTGGGGACGGGCTACAGGATGACCCCCTCGACGTTTCGAACCGATGCCTCTAAATGGACGAATCATCAGGAATTTTCTTAATTGTGGGTCGATTGGAACCAAACAAGGCACATAGATAGAGGTACCCGAATGTAGGCCTGTTCCAAATACCGGAACACCGTTTTAACACCGGTGTTGGGCTGACACCGGTGGCCAAATATGGGCTATCCGGTGTCGACACCGACATAGGTATTGGCACCCACACCGGTGTTCATTTCGATACCGGTGTTCATCTACAACACTGGTGTTCATCTCGATACAGGTGTTGGTCTGAACACCGGTGTTCATCTCGATACCGGTTTTGATGTCGACACCGGTGTTCATCTCGATACAGGTGTTGGTCTGAACACCGGTGTTCATCTCGATACCGGTTTTGATGTCGACACCGGTGTTTGGTAAACGGATTAAAGAAGAAATAATGTTAATTAATAAGTTCAAAATAAACCTGATAATAATAATGTCGTATTGGTGCTTATTTTTATCGTTTATTAAAGCGCACCGACTTTAACCTAAAGCTTTCAAATTTAAATATATTTTTTTTGCCAGACTAATCACTAAAATAAAGTGGAAGCGATAAACAACTATAAGTAAAAATTGTTTGATTAAACGATTAAAAACAAACAGAAAACAAAACAAAACATAAAAAACAAAAATTCATAGCTGTATATATAAATAAACTAAAAAATATTACATTAAAAAAAACTAAAAAAACAAACAAACGGCACCATCGACACCGGTGTTGATCTCGATACCGGTGCTCATCACGATACCGGTGTTGAGATCAACATCGGTGTCGAGTTAAACACCGGTGTTGTAGATGAACACCGGTGCTGAAATGAACACCGGTGTTGAGATAAAGACCAGTGTCGGTGTTGACACCGGTACACCGACTAAAACACCGGTGGTCATCAGCACCTAACACCGGTGTTCACATCTCAACACCGAACAGGTCTACCCGAATGGAGTACTTAGACGGACAGACGATCATTTTAATACAAATTTTGTGAAAGTGAATCAAATATGTATGTTAATATCTGCGCATGCAATGCTGTTATATGCCTATAATTTCTTTTTATATGAAATGAACAAAATTCTTACGGCTTTTGTGTATATTAATAAATAATATTTTCTTGCCTTTAGCTGTGTATTTTTTCTAATTTTTTTTTGCTTGCCGTATCGGTGAGAACCAGCCCCTGGACAGCGCACCTGCTGAAGGGTAGGCCCAGAAACCGGTTGTGGGAGTGGAGCTTGGTTCCCCCCTTTACGATTTATTTTTTTCTCTACTTTCGATTTTTCGAAATTAGAAAAAATACACAGCTAAAGGCAAGAATATATTATTTATTAATTATTTTTTTAGACATATGTTTTAAAAACTGTTAACAGGAATTTCAAATAACTTATGATCAGTTGTCAATATCACTGTTAAGAGCCTAAAGACAGCTATAGACTAAGTATGTATAAACTATATCTCAGAATAAAATTTTACTATTTTTTTTTGAAATGTCTGTGTGAAGTCAAAACCCATATTTGATTGTAAAGCTATATAGAACTTCAGTAATGCGTCGTAATGTTTAACAATCTCGATAATTAATAATTAGTAACCACAAAAACCATAACACAATTTACTACATAAAACAAATCATACGAATATCTGGATTTATCCAGTTATAGTTCTGAATGAAAATATTTAATCTGTGTGATAAATACATTCCTGTATTCATTAATAATTTGATAAGTAGGAAAAAGTAGTACAGTTCATGAGTTCATGCCGCATAAAAAATTACTATTAAGCATTTTTGATACGTTTAATGCGTTATATTTAAATAAAGAAGTGGAAGAACGAGTTGAGAACAAATTTTGTTATCAATTTTACGTTGTTGTTATATAGTGTAAAAAATGTCGATTATGAATAAAATATATTTTTGTAGAACAGACTAACAGAATATATATATAATCCAATAAAATTGTCATTTAAAAAAAAATTATGGGCAAGCTGATTTTTAGTCTGTCTGTCTTATGAGTGTAAAATATAAACAAAATCGGAAATTTTCCCCTTGCGGTTTTTGAGCAATAGGGGTGTTTTTTTTTTAAATGTACTATAACAAAATAATTAGACGCAAATTGTACATAAGAACATTCTCTATAAGTTCGCCTAATGATTTTTTTTTATAAGTTTATTATTTCCGGACTTAGCGGCCGTTTCATGAGCCCTTTGGGGTGGTTTTCAAAAAGTTTGTTTTACAGCAAATTGACCCGTATGAAAGTTGTTCATAATAAATGGACAAGCAACTTTTCCTCATGATTTTTTTTGTAGCTTTATTATTTTTGGAGATAGCGTCCAGTTCATGAATAAATTGGGGTAGTTTCATAATTTTTCTTTAGTTCTACAAATTTACCAAGTTAAAGGTGTTCATATTAAAATTACATGCAAACTTCCCTATCATATGTATTTATTTCCCCAAAACGAAACATGGAATTCATCAAGCGAATGAATATTATGATTTTTTTTATTTGTATCGTCTTCTTTTGTGTGATGGATTAAAAAGCTACCAGCACTTGTTCATGATCTGGGCACTATCTCCAAAAATAGTCAAGTTACAAAAAAAGTTCATAAGGCAAAGGTATATGTACTCTTATTTCGAACGAGTTTCCTAGGGTGAATTTGCTGAAAAAAGAGTAACATTGAAAACTACCCTAATTTGTTCATGAACTGGACGCTATCTCCAAAAATAATCAAGCTATAAAAAAAATTCATGAGGAAAAGTTGCTTGTCCATTCATTATGAACAACTTTCATACGGGTCAATTTGCTGTAATACAAACTTTTTGAAAACCACCCCAAAGGGCTCATGAAACGGCCGCTAAGTCCGGAAATAATAAACTTATAAAAAAATTCATTGGGCGAACTTATAGAGAATGTTCTTATGTACAATATGCGTCTAATTATTTTGTTGTAGTACAGTTTTAAAAAAACCACCCCTATTGCTCAAAAACCGCAAGGGGAAAATTTCCGATTTTGTTAATTTTACACTCAGACGGCAGTCGCTGACAAACTCTGAAAAAATCAGCTTGCCCATAATTTTTTTTTCACTCTCTATACGGCGATACAATTTTACTGGATTAATACCGATTTGGTCATTTTAAAGGTGTGGTCTGGATTTTAACGCGTAAGACAGAGAATAATATAAATGACCGGTTGACAGACAGAGAGACAAAATCAAAAGGGGCATACAGTGTTGCCAGTTTGTGCGTTTGTAGGAAGATTTGTGTAGAAAAAAAAACTATTTTAAAATCTTTCATGTATACTACTGAAATGAAGATAATATATCTAAGCTAAATATAATCTATTACATCTGTAGTAAAATGAGTAACTAATTGTGAAAAATAAGGTTCCAACCCATGATGCAACATTTTCCATGAACGCCTACTTGTGCGGTTTGAATTTTTGATGCAAAATCCGGCAATACGGCATAGAAGAAATGTATCAACCCAACTTTTATCTCTTTTTAATACATTTGATTTGCCACTAAGCTGCCTACATCACTGTCTTACGCGTTAAAATCCAGACCACACTTTTTTTTCGAGATTTGATCAGTTTTGCAAGTTAAAATATGGTTTTCAAACATCTATGTTTTTTTAATACTACATCTACATATTTATTGACCAATAAGAATGAATCATTGAATGGATGGATAAATAAAAATGTATGGATAAAAATTTATACTTTTTAAACAATTCTAAATATTTCAAGATATGTATGTTAAATACATAAACCATTTAATCTCAAATATTAGAATTACTCTGTGAAACTGCTTTTATAAAAAACGCCTTATTATAAATTCCCTAAAAGGCTATAATTAAAACAAATATATTTTCGGTATTTAGAAAGGAAAAAAATAGTTTAATACAAATGCTTACCAAACCATAATTAGGGTTATCTTTATTCCTCCAGCTAAAACTAGGAATAGTAATTTCAATGCCATCACCAACAGGTAGCTTCCTGGTACATCCATGGTGTGTATGACCAGATAAAGCTAATCTAGGTTTTATCTGCAATTAAAAAAATATAAGTAATAGATATAGAAATATTCTAAATTAACCATTAATAATTAATAAAATCCACAATTAACCATTAATATATCCAGTTTATCCAGGTGTTTAATTATTGTTAGTTATTGACTTAAAATGATATGTTATACCTGTTGCAGTATTTGATATGTAGCTCCTTTACTTAGACACTCTCGAGCTTCCTGAAATGGTTCTTCCCTTTCTGGAAAAGGTGCTGCATCAAAATCGGTACACTCAATATCAGATTTTCGATAAAGAGGATAATGCTAAAACAACGGTTCCTTTTAGTACTATAATTGCACATTGTAGCTATTATATTACACATATTTTTTTATCTTTTAAATAAACCAAACCTGCATCATAATAGGTCTACTGTACTGATCCAATTTGGTATTACAATATGCATTTTGTTTTTCTGTACAAGATAAAATTTCTAAAAAAAATTTGTTATAGTATACATGTATAAAAATATTACGTAGAATTTCATACTTTCTATTTTTGTTAATTCTTCTTCTGCATGTTTACAGAGGAAACAACCATCTCCTTCTAATGCCATACTGTTAATAAGGACAAAGTGATTGCCTCTTAAGCTTATTAACTGAACTGGAGGTGATTGAAATCCATCCTCAAATCTTTTTTTCAAATATGGATTAATTCTAAAACAAAATAGTTTTAGATAATTAAAGTTACATTTCAATACTATCCATAAGTATGTAAACAATTATAATAAAACTTTTATAATAGATGTTAAACAACAAATAAAAACTGTTAACCTGTAATGAAAACCAATATCATGATTTCCCACTGCTATATACATTTTTGTTGATTTTGGCACATTAAATAAACTGTAAAATCTTTTGATATAATAGTCAAACTCTTGTGGACTACAAAAATGCCCTTCATCCAATAAGTCACCCAATACAAAAACCAACTCGGGACTGTGCAAAGTAATAGCAGTTTGAAATGCTCGATACATCTGCCACTCTCTTCTAAGCTTATCAAACCAATGTCCATTACGACTGCCTAATAGATGTGTGTCAGCAATCACCATAATTTTAACTGGTTCATTATTTTGCCTGCCATTATTACTGATATGTTCGAAATTCAATTTGGGCCATGAACACTAAAATAGACGTCTGTTTATTACCGTTTTTAGCATCAAAATAAAATTATACCTACTGATATTTGTACAAAATAAAAAACTAGATATTCACAGTATAAAAAAAGGCATAAGATTCCTACAAAAGTATTCAAACATAGTTTTAGAGATGGTTTCATTATGCCTGAAAAATAAAATCAGGTAGTACTTTAAAATACTCTACAAAATCGAATTTAAAACACTTTGACTAACATTTATAAAGTTATGTTACCTGTAGTTTTCTATTTAATATTTATATGTAGTAAATACATTACAAAATCTTTAAAAAAATACTTATTATTTATTTATTTATATTTACATAATCAGCTGATTTGAGTATTTTAAAATCAAGTGTGGCCAATATTCAAATATTAAAAATGTATGCTTTCATTGAGCCAATTCAAAGGCCCTAGATAACATAGATACTTTAGCTTTGCGATGTTTAAGATACTGACGAAGTTACTGACAACCACAGACTAAATTAGGCCAACAGCCAAATAATAATTATCTGTAATTTAAAAGTTCTAAATTTCAAACTACTACAAAAGATGGCGCCACGAGGATTTAAATATTTTTTCTAGGAAATTATGAAAATTGGATGATTTTCTTTGCAATAATTATTCAATTATAGTTGGCTTGGAAATGAACATCGATAACATTTCCCATATAATTTTACATATAAAATGACAGCGATGTTGATTTCATAGCCATCTCAAACGCGTTTTTTTCGATCGTATAGTGTATTTTAAAATCTTGATTTTTATATTTCTATAATTTTTAATTCATTATGTTAAAGACCGTAAGCAATACTGTCGGGGTGGTTGAAATACCTTACATGTACCTTACCGACTAAAAAACCTCCAAAAACCGCTTTGAGTATCTTCCCGAGGAATTACCTTTGAGCACTACTTGAACACTTTAGTGAAAGTTGAGCACTTGAGTAGTATGGTAAGTAAGGTATATTAAAATTAAATTACTTTCCGGACCTTTTGGCTTCGTTTTCTTTTGCAGATATCAGCACTTCCATTATTCACGAACAGCTTTCCAGTTCCATTAGACTTAAGCATCGTTGGAACCAAGATGGTGTAAGTTGGTGTAAGTCAGAGGTGTAAGTTAATTCCTTCGTACCTATTTAGACTCTCCATTAATTTATTCCATTCATAGATCCACCTTTTGCACTCCAGGATTGTATGCTCTGCTGTGTCGTTATATATCGTGCAATGGTCACCGTAGATGCATTTTGGACTATCGGTAAGTTTTATTTTATATAAGTAATTCCTGAATCGCCCATTTCCTGATAAACATTTAGCGTAGCTAACTTCTCCATGGCTCCGATTTATCCAGTTTTTTAGATGCCATCTATTGGTATAAGCGCCGCTTATACCAAATTAAGCGGCCGTGGCGTAGCCTGGCGTCAATACGAGGGGATGTAAATAATTAACTGCAACCATAACATTTTATATACCATAGACTTAAAATAAAATATAGACTGAGCATCTCATTCATAAATAGCTGGAACATGCGGTCAGACAATATCTTGTTATTGTTGTGTTATTGTTTTAGGTTATAACGAGTGCGACACGAGCGATAGATAGGTTGTCTCTGTCGTAACGGTCGTTCTCTGACGACTCTGCCGAGAAACACAACACTGTCTTTCGTTTCTCAAGTACACCTGAACTCTCCGTATCATAGCCGGGTAATTTTTTTATTTTAATGAAGCTATAATTAAATTAAAAATATATCGTATTTAAACTTTTTTATATTTTATTGAGATTTAGGACAGGTTTTTAAATAAAAGTTTAGAAAAACGTCTTAGAGTCCAAAAGGATAAAAATAATAAAATACACGTTATAGAAGAAATTTTATAGTCGAAATTACGTAATTTTTGAAATTAATTAAAATTATTAATTTTAGTCAAACATTTACAACCCCTAATATTAATCAAAACAGGATCTATTCCACAGATATAATAGAATCGGCGACAGGGAGAGAAAAAAAATATAATTGTTGTAATTTTTTTCTGGTTAAGTGATGTCTTATTATGTAAATTAGAGAAAACATATATCTGTTCGATTAAAGCAAGGAAGGTGATAGGAAGTGGATAAAATGAAAACTACATTTATTTAACTCGGTACTGTCTTTATTATACCGGGTGCGTCCCAAAAGTGGCTCATCCCCATAATTTGTTTATATTTTCAAATAAAAAAACAAGATTTAGTATGTTAGTATATGACATAAATTAGGATTGATTGACGCATTCAATTGTTTTTGGTCACTTCCTGTTTCACCGGAAATGACTATAAGTTTTAATTTTTAAACGGCACCCTCCGTATATTTCTACTTTATTCGATAGAAAATGACACTCTGAATAGAATGACATATCATATGTCAACTTTTGACAGTTTCGCGTATGGTTTAATTGGAATTGTAACACGCGGTTCATAACGACAATTTGACTCGAAATACCAAGTGTGTGGTATCAATATATTCATAAAAAATGTTTTTTCCAAATATGCTAATGAGTCACCCTTGTTCCATTTGAAAAAATTGACATATGTATGATTAAAAATACGATTTGTACATCTTTTAACCGGCCTAGACAAGACACGAAACCCATTAGACGATCAAAACAATTTTTCCAAGGCTCCTTGATTAAAACTTAGTGTTTTTAACAACACCATGGCACCCTGGATTGAAATTTAAAATACGATTTGTTTTTAAGCGACAATGTCAAAAGTTGACATATGATATGTCACTATTCAGAGTGTCATTTTTTATCGAATAAAGTAACAATATACCGAGGGTGCCTTTAAAAATCAAAAGATGTAATCATTTCGGTGAAACAGGAAGAGACCAAAAACAACTGAATACGTCAATAAATCCTAATTTATGTCATATACCTACTAACATACAAATCTGTTTTTTTTAATTTTTTAATCTGAAAAAATAACGAAGTTATATGGGTGAGCCACTTTTGAGACGACCCGGTATATTAAAAGATATTGTTTCATAATGTAATATGATTTTAAAATTCTTGTATGTTATTTTATATTCTGAAGATAATTTTAGAATAAACCGGAATATATTTTTAATAAAAACATTATTAATTATTAACAGGGTTATAATTATGATTTTGTTACAATGTAAGTAAGTAAATAATGTAATGTAAGAGAAAAAATTCAGATTTTACATTTTACTAAAATATTATCTAAATAAGCGCCTTTCTACAACAACGCCACTGACTCCCAATGGGTAAATTGAGAGTTGCCTGCCGGTCGAAAGCCGTTTCAAGACTTAAATGGATTATTTAAGTTAAATTTCTTGCAAATTTGGCACTGGCGAACCATATTTTATAGTTCTTGAACAGAAAAAGTCAATAAAATAAACACTTAAGGACTACAAGCTAAGAAAATGCGTTAATACAGCCGGGGACATAGCGGCAACAAAGCTTTACCGCACACGTGCGACGCGTACTACAAGGTAATAAATGAATGAATAGGCTCCCTCGCCTCTAATCGGTGTTGTCATATTGTAAAGAACTTATCCTTTTTAAATAGTATCCGATTATAATTTAGTAGTATAAGGACTATTTAATACATCTATGGAATATTAAAACCTACTTTATTAAACTGTAGTATTAATATCTCAATATATGTGTATAACAAGAAAAAAAATATTGATAATATTAAAGACGTGACAACATAGGCTGGATGAGGAAGGCTCGGTCGACTGTACCCAGAAGTAAACATGTGTACAAAAAATATTGTTTGACCGCGTTGAGATGTAAATAGTGTAGTCTATATTTTATTTTAAGTCTATGTTACCAACGCTATTCTTCTCTCGCTCTATAATATTTTAGCTTGGTCTAAGACTTCAGAACACTCAATATAATATCAATTATAATTTATAAGACCGGAGGGGGCAACGGTAATTCTGAAAGTTGTAAAAAATAATACTTAATTTAACGACTTCCTTCGGTAAACATCATAAAACAAAAAACATGGACGATAATCGGTGACCTATATTTATGTTGTTGTAGCTAATTTGAAACTCTAAAAATACTATCAGATAGCTCTAATAAAGTGGCTATGAGAATGTGTAATTAGTTTTTTGATTTTATAAAAAGTAAGGACAGGAAAAAATAAAATTGATTTTCAAAAAATTCCGTTTTTTTAAACTCAGCAATCCTTGAAATTTTTTTGATGACATCTTGGTGAACATCCCAAAGCGCAACTTTACCCGAGTTTAACCATCTTCGTATCTATTACGGTTTCCGAGATACCAATGTTCGTACCTTGAATTTGTAGCACCCTGTATATAAAAACCAATTATTATGTAACAGCAGGATTACGGGACTTCGCGCGTCGTTGCAGCCAACCTAAGGGAGGAAACCGCCTCAAAGTTTGAGTACACAGTACACATATTCTAAAATATATTTATTTTCGCTCTATAATATTTTACTTTGGTCTAAGACTTCAGAACACCCAATATAATATCAATTATGATTTATAAGACCGGAGGGGGCAACGGTAATTCTGAAAGTCGTAAAAAATAAAACTTAATTTGACCACTTTCTTCGGTAAACATCATAAAATGTGGACGATGGTCCGTGACCTATATTTATGTTGTTTGGGCTATAAAAAGGGGGTGAACATATTGTTTGTAATATCTGGATCAATATACCCTATAATTCTATATTCAATACACGTGTCACTTACAATTTAATACACCCTTTGAATGGAAAAAAACTTGTTTATCGATCAGAAAATACACGTATTCTGGATAATTTTTTGCCAGAATACAACTAATTTTCGGGCTAGACGGGAAAGTGTGCATTTCAAATTAGAGATTGGAGGAACATAATTTTCTATAAAATTCATAATTCTTCGATCTCCGAAATAAAAAAAATGTGTGTGCACTATGTGCACATATTTGAAGAGAAACTTCTTACTAACAGCTATTAAATTGGAGGATTTGAATGACATATGTCAAAAAGTGGAGTTTGAAATGTTGAAAAACTAATAAATTAAAAATTAATAAATAATATGATTCACTTTCACAAAATTTGTATTAAATTAATCGTCTCTCTGTCTGAGGACTCCATTCGGGTACTTCTATCCACGTGCCGAGTTTGGTTCCAATGGGCCCACAATAATTAAGAGAAATCCTGATTATTTCGTCAATTTAGAGGCATTGGTTCGAAACGTCCCACAGTAGGCAATATGTCCAAACCAAGTTGCAAAAAATAACATCCACAGTTAGCATTTATGGCAATAACATTAGATTGGAAACATATTAGTTAAGAGGAAACCACATAAAACTAAGAAAAAAACATATTCGGAGTCTCTTTCGATG